TGACCTTGTTGAAAAGTGCATAGGGAGGATTGTTTGACTGGAGATTTTTATTGACTTGACCTTGGCCTCTGACTCACGCCAGGTGCTAAATGCTCACTTCTGGCAATTGAGGCTTCAACACATGTGCTTAGTTTTAGCAAGAAATAAACCATCTCCTCACCAAACAGTTCAAACCTCTTCTTTAAAACTCATTTTGTAGCAATTTGGCTGCTAAAGCAGAATTATTTTATCTATCGGCTTTATACCTACAGCAGAAAAGTGATGTTTTTACTCCTGTATTATAATCTTTTCTTGAAAAGCCTCTAAGGCATAAGCTCAAAGATAAATCATCTATATAAAACCCCCCAGTGTTTGGCTTCCAATTGTGTTATGTGATTTATCTGAAAGATTATAAAATTTAGAGTTGTACCCCTTTTTGCCTTGAACCCCAGCTCAGTAACCAATTAGCTGCTAACAAGTTACTTTATCGAGCCTCAGTGTCCTCCTCTGCATAATGGGCATTATAGCAGAGGTTGAAGGCATTAAATGGGACACCGTGTATGAAACACAAATGCCCATGTGGTACATTGCCACTCTATAAAAGTTTCTGTGTGTAAAAACAAATACAAGAGAGGCCTGTTGCTAAACATGAATCCCCTTTTAGAAACATGATGTGAGCGGTTATTCTGTGCAAGGGGCGGGGCAAGGCTGCATGGAGTTCAGTCAAACCCAGAGATGCCAAATTATGGGCCAAGCAGAACCCTGTGGCAGAGGAAGGGAGCACAGCGGGGCATTCTGAGAGTTAAGATTTGGGAGTCTTTGTCACCACCCTCAAGAAGGTGAAGATCTTTTGCATATGGGAAAGGGACCAAGAGATGGCGGGAGAGGGAATTAGCAAGGGTGTAAAAAGAATGACGATGTATTACGTTGTATGTGCCAGCTCCCCATGAGGAACGTAATCATGTACTGTGAACGTGCAGTAATAAAAATAAAATTTAAAAAGTCAAAAAAAAATTAAAATAAAAGGGGAAACAGGTTCCAGTGGGACTGTGTTGAAGACAAGAACACTAAAACTAAAGCCAGCCGGCACGGGTTTGAATCCCAGCTCTTACTGCTAGCTCTGTGTTCTGGGGCGAGTTACCTCACCTGTCACTGCCTCAGTGTTTGCATTTGTCACATGGGTGGCTGGGAGGGTTGGTGTAACACATTTAGCGCAACTCCTGGCATACAGTAAACTTTCAACAACTACTCATTCTATTTGTGTACTAGTAGTGGCTGCATTTGAAGTCTTCCTGAGATACTTTCACGTCACGGAAGGTTTAGGGGAGTCAGCTACTACCTATGAGGATAGCTATTAAGACAGGAGCCAAGCAGATTTAAACTAGTCAGCTTTATGAACTGATCACAGCTGCCTTGAGGGCCTGGCCTAGGTGTGCGACCACAGTGGACTGCCTTATTTGTTGGCCCATAGGTAGACGTACCAGAGGCAGCCCGATGCACAAGACGGGAGAGCAGGCTGTCCCCTCAGTCTCCCCAAGCACACAGATTCCAGAGGGCTGACGTGGAGTGATCTCCCCGGAGTGGGAGGGCCACAGAAGCCCTTGCCTGTGCTTGGGAGTGCCTGGGAGGATGACAGAGCAGTGGTGGCGAACCTCTTAGAGCTTTCAGTGATAATAGCCTGCTGCGGCATGCATGCCATAGGTTCCCTACCACTGACATAGAGGGAAGCCCAGCTCTGTGAGCCTCACCCCAAAGCAAGCTTTCATACTCATCTCAACTTGGTGGCTTTTTCTGATTTAATGAGAGGCATTTAAAGTGTGGCATGGTATGCCAGCTTTGTTGAGTAGACTAAGGTCACTCTTACCTTTGTGGCACCTTCTCATAGATTCTTGGCATGGAGGTGAGGGAGGGATGTGGGATGTAAGTTGGAGCAGCTGAGATGCGTCAGCTAAAGAAGTCTTATCCCGCTTGGTCCAGTTAGCTGATTTAACCCTTCCAGCAAGCATGGGACTGGTCAAAGGTCTTGTGGCCAGTAAGCATGTTGGGGGAGAGGATTGCATTTTAGAGCTCCTTCTTTAACCACAATGCTAATTTGCTTCCCTAAGCCTCGATTTGGGAGATGTTTTCTGAAAGCTTTTAATGAGGCTTGCATAACCCCACTGCCAGGGTTTCTGGACTCGTCGGGCCTTGCAGTCATCCCACAGACGGCCCTCATTTTATATGTGGGGAAACTGAGGCCTAGAAGGCAGACGCTGGGCAGACCCTAAGCCTTCTGACTCAGAAGCACCACTGCTCTTCCCTGATTTCTGTCAGAAGCAGATTAAAGAAGAAAGTGAACTTCAGTGTGTGCTTGAAATGGCTTATCTCAGTTGAGAGGCAGGGCGAGCCAGAGAGCAGCAGAGCCTACTCCCTCCTACCAAGAGCACTGAGGATTCCACTGCAGTAGGTAAATAATTACGAGTTTAAGGGCCGCGCATTGTCCTACTCCTTTCCAAGCCTTCTAGTTAGTTTTTCTCCTCCTCACAAGAGTTACGTTTTCCATATGTGAAGCTAAATTGCACCACTTGGCTCTGTAGTGGGCAATATTTCCGCAAAGAAATGATTGCAAATGCTACTTTTTTAGTTTTAGTTTTCAGTTTTCAACTTTTACTGTGAATTTACAGACAAAGCATTAGAACCAGGTAGTTCGAGAACAAACATGAAGAAAATACGCCATGCTGGCTGGGCGTGGTGGCCTGCACCTGTAATCCCAGCACTTACCAGGCTGAGATAGGAGGATTGCCATGGGAGTTTGACGCCAGCCTGAACTACATAGTGAGTTGGTGTCTCAAAAAAAGAAGCCATGCTAGAGGGAAGATTGGAGAGAGCAAGGGAAGGGAGATGGACGGAGAGGGTGAGGGTGGTTTCTTCAGCAGACTGGGAGCTAAGGCACATCACGTGTACTCTTGAGGAGTCAAAGCAGGGTTCGCGTGTGTGAATTACAGAGCGCCCCAGGCTGAGGCGGAAGAGCAGAGTTGTTAGGGACACAAATCTGGAGTCAAACTGCCACAGTTAAAATAGTAGCTCAGCACCTTGAAGTTGGCCAGATTACTTAAATGTGCCTTGGTTTTCTTCTTCAAGAATGGGACTCATAATAGTTCTATCTGAAAGGGTTATTCTGAGGATCAAATGAGTTACTATGTGTAAAGTGCTTAGAGGAACAGAGGCGGGAACAGAAAAGTCCTGGACATTGTTTATAATGCAGCTGCTGCTGAAGGAAAACAGAACTAAAAATTAAACTTGCAGTCAGCAGAGACTGGGAAGAGGAGGTAGTCGTTTGAGAAAGTTTATTTTTTCGTCTTGTAAAATAAGAGGTCAGTAAACACTTTAAAATTGACCAGTAAAGAAGTAGAGGCAGAACTGTATTTATAGTGGTGGAGGCAATCCAAAGAAATAAAAATAGGTCTAGCTATGTGTGGTTGTCGCTGGGGAATGAAGCACTGGGAGGAGAGCCTTTCTGTTTTGAGGTTTTTTATTATCAGAAACATGTATTACTTTTATTTTTTGTCTACTTTCTTGAGGTGTAGTTAACAAGTAGCAAACTTCATGTATTTAACGTATACAACTTGGTAAGTTTTCACATATGTATGTACTAAGGCAGCCACCACCACAGTAAAGGCAAACATGCACCCTCTCTCCTCCCCAGAAAGCCAGATTGAAGCTTCTTGATCATAACAGTCATTAGGTACTTAGGGCTAGCGTTAATTCTTCAGGCACAGCGTCACTTAATTCAGAATACCTTTTTGACTTCAAAGAGTATTCTCTTCTAATGATGAAACAGCAATATTTTTTGAAGTCTTTGTATTCATAGGATCTTTACTTCCCTCCTGAGTAAAACCATAAAGCTAATTAAAAACCAATAGTGATTGTCATTTTTGATGATGTGTTTTTCACAAAACACCCAGTGGTTAGATGCTAGGATTGCCGACTTTGCAATGGGGCACAGAGGCAATTAAAGTCCTCCCCAGGCAATTAAAAAACTGTTTGCTTTTCAAAATTTCCGTCCATTTGTGGGCTGTCTCCTCTGACCAGGGCTTTCTGAATGTGTATGCTACATGTTCAATTAGGATTCACAGACCACAGCTCAGGGATAATGTTGCTGAAATCGATGTCTCAGTTGAATAAAGCAGGTCTTCCCTGTGGCTCAGGAACCAGCCGCTACTTCCTACCCAGAGCTTCCCTGAGCTGTCCATATCCATTGGTCCTGGCCCAGGGAACAGCACCCTGTTCACAGTGGGGTGGCCACTCGGAGTTTAATTCTGGAGTCCCAAGTATGATTGGAAATAGACTTTCTTTTTTTTTGAGACAGGGTCTCACTATGCGGTTCAGGCTGGTTTTGAGCTCACTTTGTAGCCCAGGCTGGTCTCGAACTCGCAAGGATCCTCCTGCCTCAGCCTCCTGAGTGCTGGGATTATAGGCGTGTGTCACCACACCCAACTGGAAATAGACTTTCAATAGAAATCAGGTGAAGCTTTGTGATCACCTCAGTTTTATGGTACTGCTCATTAACACTGTAACTGAACTGTGCTCTGGGTCCAGTGTGGAGGTTTCTGTGGTTTTTGTTTTGTTTTTGTGGATGGGTTTGGAAGCATAACTCCCTTTTTATATCATTGTTTCTATGTAGGAAAGGCATTCAGTTTTGGAAACAGAAGCATAAAGGAACTTTTCAAACAGCCTGTTGAGGATGGCTTGTAACAGCACCTTGACAGAAGGGTTGTGTTTGAAATAACATAGATGTCCTAGTCTAAGTGTGATGCATTTCTCCAAATCATGGGCTTCCCTGGAAATCACAGGACAATTGTGTTAGGATTGATTTTATATTGAATGAAACTTCGAGGACGAATGTGTTAGAATTGATCTTGTTGTTTTTATTTAGAGGATTATGATATTTCTTAGGGAATGGGCTGTTGAACTTAATGGCATCTTTCACAGGTCAGTAGTAACATGTCCATGATGATGATGTTCTGTATTTTAACTAACAGGTTTTCAGGAGGCCTGATATAAGGGTAAGGATATTTGGCTTTCAGCAGATGGACTTCCTACTTGTATGTGTCTGTGCTTTATGGAACACTTAGTCTATTTAGTGTTCTTTACCTTCTCACTGATTTTTATGAGTCACTCAGATCAATTTGCTCTGCTGTGTCATAGCTTTAAGTGTTCACTAGAAATGCTTTATTTGTTACAATGTTTTCATGTGCAGTAAAAGCCAATGTGCGTGAGGGCAGGACGATAAACTTGTTACCGGTGTGCGCTGCTGACTTTCCCTGTACCGCATGACTCCTGTCCAAAAGGATATTCATGGTAGAGGTTATAGGTCTGGGCCTGCAGAGGCCTCTTTTAACCTTGCTTACCCTGTGATTCATGCAGAATTTAGCAGCCACAAAGAAGTGCTCAGTTGTCTATCCTATCTAAGATTTTGAGTAGTGTTTGTGTTTGCATGTTTAATACAAAAAGCAGAAGTGCTAATCTTGAAAAAAAAATAGCAAAATCAGCCCCTGTTAGTACTTTTAGAAATATTGAGATAGTGGATGATAGCTTATATTTTCCTCATGATTTTCCTTCCCTTTATTTCAGAATATTCATAAAGCAAGACAAAGATTGGTAATGTGCATGCACTTAACTCTTAGTATCAGAGCTGGAAAATTAACCTGTTTTCATTAAATGAAAACAATGGGGATTTTGACAGTATACTCTAATGACTTTAATACTTTAATGACTTTAAAATTTTTAATCTTATTGAAGCTAGTGTAGTAGTACAACAATAACCAGGTTAAGTCAAATTCTTGTTTTTTTACTTGGTTTACCTTTTACTCTTTTTTCACATTTTCTTTTGCTTGTGGGAATTATTTTCTTTCATTGATTCACATTGTTTGGCTTTAAACTTGCATGGACTTTGAAATGCTGTATTTTTGTATATTCATTTTTCTGTTTTAAAGATTTTTAATCAATGATTCCATTTTCCTTATATTTAAAAGTGGAATTTAAAAACTGCATTTAAAATTACACAGCTGTGAAAGGTAGCTATACCAACTCTACTAAATTCGACCTGATGATAAAGTATAGAAATGTGCCAAGCAGATATTATACTGTATAGACAAAAATGAAAGGTGGGAAGCAGTAAGTTCCTTTAAAGTTTTGCTTGTTCAGTCAGTTGCCTTTTAAAGAAATACAGCCATTGGAACCAAGGTTTTATTAAGTAAAAATATATGCTAGATTTTAATATTTTCAACCTCAGATTTGATACAACTTTGGAAAGGTGTTATAATTTGAAATCTTCATGGGCCGGGGATATAGCTCAGTAGCACAGCACCTGCCTGACAAGCACAAGGTTCTGAGTTCGAGTGCTAGTACCAAAAAAAAAAAAGAAAAAGAAAAAAGCTGGGGATTTAGCTCAGTGGCACAGCACTTGCCTGGCAAGCATGAGGTCGTGAGTTAGATTCCCGGTAAAAAAAAAAAAACAAAAAACCTTTAATGTTCATATTTATACCACCTGCTGAACTTAAAAGTCTAGTTTTTAGGGTTTCCAAAAACAATTGATTCTGTGAAAAATTAAGTGTTATCTTTAAAGGGATTAGTAAAACTTAAAGGATGTGTGACCTTTTAGTTCTTTGAAGCATATTGTCAGTACTGCAGTTAAAATATTTAATATGATACTGATTTGCAAATCAGAGTACTTAGCAATAAGCAAATAAGAAATGTTCACATGTATATGTATACGTGTTCATGTAAAATCTCCAGCATGTGATATGTGCATGCGTGCAGTGGAACTGATTCTTGGCAATATGATGGTCCCTTAGAGTATATGAATACTTACTATGTTTGAAATATATGTCTGTGAACTGCCCTTGTATTTTGGCTTCACTTCGCCCTTTACCTGGTTTCTGTGGTATGCTTTAGTTTTTATGAGTACACAATGTGCCTGTTATTTTGTTTCTTTGCTATATGCTGTAGTGTTGCTTGATTTTAAAAAGAGTGCATTCTTTGAAATCCCTGTTTGTTTGCTTCTCATTTTTCAGCCCCAATGCAAACACAGACTAGATGCTCTATTTTAGACTGAGGATGCTATGGGTCGCCTACACGTTATTTCCTTAACTCAAAGGGGGCAAATGTGATTTGCAAAAATGTGTTGACTTTTACATGCTTACTGTCTCTTTACAAAAGAAATTCTGTCCTTTCACCTGTCTGTTTGCATGTATTTCTTTCTCTTCTCTGCCTTTTCTTGTCCGTGCACCTGGTGCTGTGCAGGAGATACAGGAGGAACACAATGGCTACCCTTCTGAAGCTGAAGCTGATCAGGTGGCAAGTTCTACGTGTTCATCTGTTTGTAGCTGCAGCTCATGTATCTAGAAGCCATTTCATACTAGATCTCTAGATGATAAGCAAAGTTTTCCAGATGCTTTTGCCACTACATTAGTGCTCTCTTGTCCAAATCTGGTAGATTCCATTATGACATTATTTGCAAAAATTGGTTTATCCAACATTTTGTCAACTAGAAATGTGTTCCTTTGTGCTCCTTGGTTTCCCCCAATAGTTACGATGAAGTTGGTGACCCTTCATCACTGTGGGATTCCAAAGTGCCTTTACAAAGACCTGCAGGAGATAGCTACATGTGTCAGGGGCGCACCTTGAGAGTGTGGACTTTGCTTATTCAGATACCCAGCATAGTACCCGGTACTTTGTAAGTATTTGTGGAATGAGTTCATATATTTTATATTTATTAATCTGAACACAAAATCATTCCTATTTGATGGTACCTCTTTGCTCAGTACCTCTGGACCCTCTATGGAGTCCCGAAGCCACAGCGCTTTCCCCACTGCTGGTCAGGAAACTTCATAGACAAGCAGCTCCAGGGATGCGTGGCAAGCTTCAGGTGTTCAGCTGTGTCTTTGTCCTTACCGCCCAGCCCCGCCTCCATTGGGGACCCCAAGAAAAAGCTCAATTTGCACACCATTGCTTTGCCAGTCCAGAAGCTTAGATTCGGGCAGAGGTTGAAAGTAAAGGAGAGGCCAGGGTCACCTGGGTGGGCTTAAACCCTCAGGAACAAAATCAGGGAGCTGCAGACCTCAGCTGGACTTGCAGGGTCACAAGAACAAACCTGAGATGAGATCATCAGAGGGAATTCCACAGTTGGGCCACGCTTTGGACAAAGGCACCAAGAGGAAAGGGTGTGTTTATGAAATCAAATTTATTCTATCTTTTGAATGTGCTGGATAAATCAAGGGTCAAATCATGTCCTGTGCAACCTGGTAGTTGCAATAAAAGCTTAATATAAGTGTGAGTTTCGTCTCCTAACACCACCTTTATAAAGGGAATCTACTGTATTCACCTGCCCGAGCCTTTAAAAACTGTTCTTCTCTTGAGTTCCTATGCTCAAGCTAAATGTGTTTGTTTCTTTTCCAAAAGAACCTTCCTCCTATGGGGAAATCTGAAGCAATGGGGTCATTTCTTTTATTCTGATTGTTGCTTTTTCATCATTTTCAAAAGCCTGTCCCAGGTTTATTACAAGTAAGGAGTTTGTCTCACTGTGTTTCACCAGCACAGTCATGCCTCATGTAAATGCACAGACGTATTCTGTCACATTATGGGAAGAGTCCCCTGCCTAGATCTTGAGAACTTTGTGTGTTCTCAGAACGGTCCCACTATCTCCCACCTGCAGTGTTTCATTAGCTAGTCGTGGGTTTCGGGCTTTAAAGTGTTCCATGTGGCTTGCTGGCTTAATAGGAATCTTCCCCAGCTCAAGATTCTGTTGACTAGAGCAGCTTGGTTCTTTAAATGTATTTCAAAATATAATCTCCCCTTGTTTATTTTTAAATATAAGCTAAAGAATTTAGGTCTAGAGCCAGGCATGGTGGTGCATGCCTATAATCCCACCACACGGGAGGCTGAAGCAGGAAGATCACTGTGACTTTGAGGCCAGCCTGGGCTACATAGTGAGTTCAAGGACAGTCTTAACTACACAGCGAGACCCTGTTTCTAAGAAAAAAAAAAAAGAATTTAGGTCTCTATATAACATATACCACATAATATATAATGTTGAGCCCTGAAAGTATGCTTTAACAGTGGAACATTTGAAGTAATTTAAAACTGACTTTAATTAAAGTACCTTTCTCACTTTGTAACTATGGTATAGTCACTAATTCAGACAGTAAAGCAGACTTTCAAATTAAAGCTTCTGTTAAGACTGGTGTTCTTTTAACATCTCTAAAACCAGACCTTTAAAAGTATATACAGTATATGGTTTATACTTTATTGCATAAAAGCTATATTTCCAAATCAGATATGAATATAAAAATCAATCTACAAATGATTCTTCATAGCCCCTTTAATGTGTTAACGCCTTAAAAATTTCAGCTGAAAAAATCTTAACCAGTGTGTAGTTAAAAATTCAAGTTGAATAAATTGTTGGGAGGTAATCATAAATCCTGATTTATATTATGTTAACCATGCATTTTTTGGTAAGGAGAAAGATAACTATGTCGTTTTGTGCCCTCCAAGTAAAATAGATGTACTGTCATCAACATCTGGCATTGAATTTACTATTTATATTTTGACATTTTTCTTTATTGATTTTATAAAATTTGATGATGCTGACATGTATGTTTCTAAATTGATTTTTAAGTCCCTTTAATAAAACATAATGAAATATGCTTATAACTATGAAAAATAATCACCGTTATTTTGATTTGGATCATAAAAGCCATCTGTTTTCAAATATTTCACTTTACAAAATGATGTTGAATACTGAGGGTCATCTAGCTTATTTTCCCATGAATACTAGCGGCCTCCTGATGTTGGCAGGTATTCCTTGGAAAAGCAGTGCCTGATCAAATACTGTAGGTATGAGACTTGCATTATACTCTAGCGCCCTCTTGTGGTTCCATGTACATTAACACACTAAAAGACAGCTCATTTTAAAAAACAAAAACAAACAAAACACCAGCCTAACTCATTTGTTTAACCCAGCATTTCTCAAACTTTAAAAAAAAAACTATTCACATTTCTTGGGAAATTAATTATACATAGCTTGGTAATTTCTGGGGTTTTGATCATCTTATTCTTATTCATGACACATTATGTCAGACATGCCAAAGAGAAGGTGACTGGTTTCCCTGGTAGCATCTCACAGGGTGGCAGTACCTTGGAATAGGCCTGGAGTTCAAACCCAGTCCTTAGCTTTGTCATTCAAGAATACCAGTTTCAAACCTTTCTTGAGTAACTAGCACTCTCCAACTGAGGTTACAAGAGACTTGCCACTGGGCTACAATGACAGTCTGGTCATTTAGAAATGTGGGCACACAGTGTTCCAGATGTCCAAGGTATCCTCCACCTGGTATCATTGTACCCTGGAAATCTAGTAGGTCATTAGCAGTTTTCTTAGTGAGTATGAAATTAGTCCAGAAGTGAATTTGCTTGAGAGCTGTCTGATGAACATACTCTGTTCCACAGTAGAAACTAGGATAGACATTAGCCCCCTTTATCCAAAATGCTTAGGACCACAGATAGTTCAGACTTTGTTTTGTTTTTCAGATTTTTGGAATATTTATATGTACATAATGAAATATCTTGGGTGGGGCCCAAGTCTAAACATGAAATTTGGGCTGGGGATATAGCTCAGTAGCACAGCACCTACCTGGCAAATGCTAGGATCCGAGTTCGATTTCTTGGTACCAAAAAAAAACATGATTCTTTTTTTGATCAAATACTGTAGGTATGAGACTTTGAACTAAAGTCTTAAATTAGGGATTGGCTAAACAGAAATGTTCCATGTCTGTTCCCAAAGTGGTCTACACTTTGAACACACAGCCTGAAGGAAATTTTAGACAGTGGTCTTAGTGTTTTCACTTCCACCTGTCACATGAGGTCAGGTGTAGCATTTCCCACGGTGGCATCATGTCAGTGTTCAAAAAGTTTTTGATTTTGGAGCATTTCAGGTTAGGGATTTGGGGACTAGGGATGCTTAGCTTGCTCTTGTCTGCCTGATGAGAGCATACTTTCATGGCTGGGATTGGCTAAACAGTGACAGTCCTGCTCTCTGTGTCCCTTGGCATACATTTTGTGTGTCTGTGCACACATGTGGCTGGGCTGCGGCACCTGAGCGTAGAGTGTTTCTTAGTTACTGTCCTGAGACTATTTTCTGGTTATTTACATTAAACTTGGGGGTTTCCCAAATAGTCTCTTAGGCTGGGTCATTTTTATGGTTAGCTAAGCACCTAAATCTGATATTTTTATTTGTATTAGTTTCATGCTCAGAAGGTAATCTTTTTCTGCCCTTTCTAAACTCTGGAGGCATCTTATAATAGCTATATGTGTAGTGATTATAGTATCTGTCATGTCAAGCCATTTCTGTATTAATGCTTTCTAACTGTGAAATGTGTATATGTTGTAACCCTTTGCTAGAACATGCAGCATGATGTCCTGTGATGCTGAGCTTTGAAATTTGTCTTTTAAGGGGGATTGCATTTTGCACGCTCCCATAGCCTTATAGAGAGAGCACAGAACGCCAAAATTCTTCTCAGGTATACAAATGGAATGGGAGATTTACTCCTCTTTGGTTTTTACCAGGCTCTAAGGGATGGAAATAAGCTGGCACAGATGGAAGAAGCATCACTTGTTCCAGGAGAATCAATTAAGGCCATTGGTAAGTTTAATATGTACACTTTGCTTATAAAGATTTGTAAAATGAAATGGTACTTTATTTGTGAACATAGGTGTTGTATATGCTGGATATCAGCCAGACCAATTTAATTAGGGGACAGATAGACTAGGCCTATTCATTCTTACTGGTGTTGTCCTGACCTTAAGAGATAGAAGACTGTACAGGTTTTGTTAAGCTGCAGTTGAGTATTAGATTAGTTACAGTTGAGTATTACCAACAGAGGAGAAGCCTAAAAGTACAATTTTAGTGCAAGCAATGGACATGTGTTGCCATCCTGCATTGTAAAGGTGGTAGCATCAGAGTTCCCATATCTCTCCGGGGTGGATTGGCAGGCATTTTAGGAAGTGGTGGAGGATGCCGTGGGTGGCTAGGAGGAGCAGTCAGTGCCATCTTGTTATCTAATCAGTTGGCTAGATTGGACAGTCTGCTTTGCTAGGCAGAGTATTTCCTTTTTCCCTTATAACTCCCTTCCAAAGATGTGTGCTTGGTCCCGGAATATGGTCATCTTGTATCAAGAGCATTAGAGTCTTGTGCTGTGCTACCACAGCCTCCAAGTAACTACTCCTGCTGAATATCCCACTCTGTGGCTCTGGACCTATCCATTCAGGGCTCTGAAACTCTTTCTTTCCTTGGCTTTTGGGGCCTGCTTCTTTCCTGATGCTCCTCTGGTGTCTGGCTGGTGCTTGTTTGGGTATTCCAGCCCAGTCCCATGCTGTTTAAAATGCAGAGCAAAATATGCCTGGCCCTGCTTCCCCTGCAGACAATAAACTACAAAGACTTCAGTGCACAATGGAAAGAGGGGGTTTGTCACTTCATTTCTATCTTTATCAGTTGGTCAAAGTCCACTTAGAAGAGATTGCAGCTGATGGAGATGATTGATACATCAGATTCCCATTTTGAACTAGCAGGGAGTGTTCTAAAAGGTTGGGCTGCAAGCTCTCAGTTGTCTCAGTAAGAAGAGAAGGCTTTAGTGGAGCCAGCTATGGGCCTGGTGCTCTTCTCTCCTGTTTGTGTCTCCCTTCACTCTGGAAATGGGGCTCTGGGAGAGGGAACTCCCACCTGGCCCCGTTTCTCTCCAAGTCATCAGAAATATCTTTCAATTGTATGGTAAGGACATCTGCACATCCTTAAGCCATCTAAATATGTTTTTAATTCCTCCAGTGGCTTGCAAAGGCTAAGTAAATTAACCCCTGCTTTTAAATAAAGTATGTTCCTGGAGGCACAGTACTAAAGTAGGTCATTGTAAAGTGAAGTACTCCCCTATGGAGTATCATTTCAGTTTGTCATTGTCAGAACAGGAAGCTTTGACATAGGGTATCCCTGGGAAACCATTGTCACAGTTAAGGTAATGAACATATCCATCACCCCTCAGCAGTTTCTTTATGCTCCTGGGTAGACCCTCCATCCTGTGTATTCCCCTCATCCTCAAGCACTGCAGGCTGTAGTGTGCTAGTCAGCTTCTCGCTGATGTGACTAGATACCTGAAAACAACTCCTTAAAGGAGGAAGGGTTTATTTTGGTTCATGATTTCAGTGGTTTCTGTCTGTGGTCTCTGGCTGCATTGCTTTTAGGCCTGTGGCAAGGCAGAAACATCATTGTGGGAGGGTATGGCAAAAGAAAGCTGCTTACCTCATGGCAGCCAGCAAGCAGAGAGAGCAGGAAAAGAGCCAGGGTGTTGTGAGAGGAGGGGTGGGGATCAGCTGTAGTCCCCAGGGTCATGCCCCACAGTCCACTCCCTTCAGCTGGCCTTACTTGTTTCTGTTGCCGCCCAATGATGCCATCAAATTATGATATCGCAGAGCCCCCGCAATCCAGTCATTTCCTAAAGGCCCAGCAGCAACCGAGCCTTCAGCACAGTGAGCCTTTTGGAGGTCATATCTTTTCAAACCATAGCAGTTCATTTATATTTTCTAATGCTTTATAGAAATAAAATAATAGAGTATATTCTTTTCTGTCTGACTTCTTCTGATCAAATAATGATTTTGATTTGTCCATTCTGTGGCATGGGTTAACGTTCATTTTTATTGCTGAAGGATATTTCATTGTGTGGATGCAGCTTGTCTGTTCATCTGGTTTGGATATTTGGGTTGCTTCTGCTATTTGGCTATTTTAAATAAAGCTGCTGTGAGCATTTATGTAGAAGTGTTTATGGAGATGTATTTCCTTCTCTTTTGGGTGAATGCCTAAAGAGTAAAGGTCAGAGACATATGCTAGGTGTACATTTAACTATTTTTTTTGTAGTACTGGAGTTTGAACCCAGGACCTTTGCACTGGGCTACATCCCCACCCTTTGATTTGTTTTTTTAAATATTAAGACGGGGTCTCACTAAGTTGCTAATTAGCCCAGGCTGGACTTGAACTTGCAATCTTCCTGTTGAGCTTCCCAGAGTGCCAGGATTGTAGGCATGTGTCACTGTGCTGAGCAATGTCTCACTTTTGGTCATGCCATTACACATTCCCACCAGCAGTGTATGAGCATTCCAGCTTTTCTTTTCCAGTCTCTATTTCCATTTCTTTTTTACTCTTTGAACTTCCAGTATAGTATTAAAGGTAAAAGTGAACATTCTAGTCTTGTTCCTGATCTTCAGAAAGCTTTCAGATTTTCACTGTCAAGTATGGTATTCCCTGCTTTTGGTGGATGACCTTTATTATGTTGAGAAAGTTCCCTTCTGTTTCTAGTCTGCAAAGTGTTTCCTTAACAAATTAGAAATGGACACTAGATTTTGTCAAATGTATTTTCTTTTTAATTTTTTTTGGTACCGGGAATCAAACTCACAACCTCACACTTGCCAGGCAGGCACTGTGCCACTGAGCTATATCCCCAGCCCATTTTCTTTATCAATTAATATAAGATGTGATTTGTTTTGTACTGGGAATCAAACTCAGGACCGTGCGCTTGCCAACCAGATGCTTGTGCCACTGAGCTATATCCACAGCCCTCAAGATGTGATTTTTCTCAATTTGCTTATAATATCTTGTAGATTATATCAGTTTCTTTTTGACCCCTGCGTTGCCAGGATAAACTCTACTTACTTATTTGAATTATCCTTTTTATGTGTTACTAGATTTGATTCATTAAAGTTTTGTTTTGAAGATTTACAACCTTATTTATTTATTTATTTATTTTTGGTACCAAGAATCGAACTCGGGACCTTGTGCTTACCAGGCAGGTGCTTATGTTGCTGAGCTACATCCCCAGCCCCTACAGCCATATTTATGATACCCACTGGTCTGTCGTTTTCTTGTAATGGCTTCCTTGGGTTTTGATATTAGAGCAATGCTGCTTCATAGAAGGGATTGGGAATTCTCTCTTCCTCAATTCTCTGGGAGAGTATTTCTTCCATAAGTGTTCAGTAGAAGCCAGGCCACCTGGACCTTCAATTTTCTTGATGAGAAGTTTTTAGCTGCAGTGTTTTTAGTAGGTATAGCATTCTTTAGTTTGTCTGTTTTTTCTCAAGTAAGTTTTGCTAGCTTGTCTTTCTAGGAATTTGCCTTTTTCATCTGAGTTGTCAAATTATTGTCCAAAAGCCATCTGTTGTGTCCCCGTATTATTCATTTAGTATCTGTAGAATTCTTAGGGGCATTGCTAGTCTCATTTTCCCTGTCATCACTCTGGCTAGAGCTTTAGCGGTTTTACTCATCTTCTCAAAGAATCAACTTTTGGTTTTATTGCTTTGGTCTCCATTTTATTATTTTCACTGTCATCTTTATTGCTTCACATCATTTGGTTGAGGTTTAATTCCTTCTTTTTTCTGCTTTCTTGAGGTGGAAGCTGTGGTCATTGATTTTTGAGACTGTCTTGATTACTTTTCTCTCATTGCTGAGACAAAATACCTGACACCCAGAAATCAGGAAGGACAGGTTTATTTAGCTCACAGTTTGTGGAGGTTTCAGTCCACACTGGGCTGGCTCCAAGGCAGAGTGGCACGTGGCAGAGGGCAACCGTTCATGGTGGCGGAAAACAGCAAAAGCAACAAGAGCCAAAAGGAGGAGCGGCAGCTGGAAGAGCAAACCTCTTTCCCTCCCTTACATTGTATGCAAACTACCCACCCCAGGGCAGGTGTAGTACTCGCATCCGTAATTCCAGCATTGGACCATGAATCAATCATAAACTCTAAAAGCCCACCCCATGACTGCATTAGGCTTTGGGGGGACATCCAGATGCAAACCAGAACAGAGACCTTTGTTCTTTTCCAGTCTAGGCATTTAGATGTTCCTTGACATGCTATTTTAGCAGTATCTCACCAATTATGATGTGTTTTCATTTTCATTCAGCTCCAACTGCTTTGGAATTATTCTCCTTTTGATTCCTTCTTTGACTTTTGGGGTATTTAGGAGTGTGTTGTTTAATTTCCACATAGTTGTGAGTTTTTAAAAAATTTTTCTCTTACTGATTCTAATTTCATTCATGTTCAGAAATCATACTCTTTGAATAGAAATGTATTATGTACATGTAGCAATTTCCGACAATGAATGTAATCATTATCTACTGCAAATATGTACTAATAAAAATTCTTAAAAGAAATCACATTTTCTATGACTTGAATATTTTTATGTTTATCAAGACTTGTATTATGGCCCAGAATATAGTCTGTCTGGGTAAATGGTCTGGGTACACCTAAAGGGAATGTGTGTTCTGCTGTTATTGATGGAATGATCTGTGGTTGTCAATTGGTTTGTTTTTTGATAGTATTCAAGTCTTCTGTTGCCTAATTTTTGGTCTATTTCTATCAGTTATTGAGAGAGGGGTTTCAAAATCTCTGACTGTAATGTGGGTCTGTCTGTGTCTCATTGTAGTTCTGTCCATTTTGCTTCATCTACAGTATCTTCATGTTCTGTATTAGATGCATAAATGTTTAGAATGATTATGTTGTTCTGATCTTTATTCCTGGTGATAGTCTTTGTTCAGAAATCTACTTTTATCTGATATTTTTATAGATGTGATAGCTTTCTTTTTTTTTCAGTTTTTTTAAGACAGGGTCTCGCTGTGTAGTTTAGGGTGGCCATGGACTCACTATACAGCTGAGGCTAGCCTCAAACTCAAGGCAGTCCTCCTGCCTCAGCCTCCACAGTGCTGGAATTATAGGCATGTGCCACCACACCTGGCTCTTTCTTTTAATTAGTGTTAATGTGACGTGGCTATTTTCATCTTCTGAATTCCAAATTATTTTTGCTTTTTTACTTAAAGTATATTTCCTTTATGCTATATATAGTTGAGTCTTGCTTTTATTTTTAATCTGATAATCTCTATCTTTTAATTGGGTGTTTCAATGAGTTACATGTTATAAATATTAATATAACTAGGTTTAATTTTGTTGTTTTGATACTTGTTTTGTCTTTGTAATATTTGTCCTTTGTTCTCTTTTTCCTCTTTCTTTACATCTTTTGGCTTAATTGAATACTTTTATGATTCCATTTTATCTTTTATGTTTACATAGTAACTATAATTCCTTTCCTGCTTGCTTTATATCTTTAACTTAACACAGTCTACCTTCAAGTGATTTTACACTGCTTTGTGTATAGGATAAGAACTTGACAACTGTATACTTCTTACATTTATTCCCTCCTAGCCTTTATGCTGTTATCCATTTGACTTTTACATTCGTCATAAACCTTACAGTATGTTTTTATATTTTAACTTTGTCATCTTATTATTACATGTTTGTGATACGTAATGAATATATTCATTGTGGGACATTTGTACATGTACATATACACATTGAATCATAATTCTTTCTACTATCCCTTCTCCTCCCCTCTCTGTCTATCCCTAGAGCCCCACCCCATCTGCATAAGGTCTTCCTCCCTGTTTCCTATCATCTGTCTTTTGTTTTGCTCTTTAAATTATTTATACTTTGTGTTTCTCATATAAGAGAAGCCATGCAGTATTTAACCTTCTATGTCTGGTATTTCATTTAGTATCATGGTCTCAAAATGCATCTATTTTCCTACAGCTGATTCAAATTTTTTCTTCCTTGTGGCTGCACAGTACTCTATGGTGATTAGATACTCTCTGGTGATAGATATAGGCTATTTCCAGTATTTAGCTATGGGTATGCATGTAGCATCATAATATGATGTGTTCTTTTTTGAGAAGATACCAGAAGAGATATTACTAGGTTGAATGGAATTTCTATTTGTAGTTTTGTGAGGAATCTCCGTACTGATTTTTTTGTACTGATTTTTATAGAGGTTCAGTGTTTTTATTTATAGACTGTTATCTTTTAAGGATAAGACACTGATAATGTTCAGTGTCCCACAGAAACACATTTTGATCCTCTCCCTACCAGGCTCTCTAGCCTCATGTCATTCATCCTCACTTCTCCTTTTGATGCAATCCATACTAAGCTCTAACAACTTGCTGTGTCTCCTCCCTCTGTCCTGCTCTTCTCTCTCATTCCCTCTCTACCTGCTTCCCTGCTGGGTTAAGTCAATCCTCTTCTAAGCTTTATCACTTTGGGTCCACACCGCTTCATAGAATTTATCAGGCAGTGGTATAATGGTGACTTTCAGGCTGCTTATAGACAAGAACTATATCCATTTATACGCAGAACCCTGCAATTGAAAACATTCAGTTTGTAATGAGTTGGAGAAAAGTGTGATAGAAATGTTTTGAGAATTTGGCCAAATGACAAACTTTAGTACCTTTAATTATCCTGCTTGGACTCAGCTGTAGCTATGTATGTTTCTGTCATTCCAAAGGAATGGCACTTTGGGGAGGTCATGAAGATGTGGGATGAGCTCTTTTTTTTTTCTTTTGCAGTACTGGGGATCGAACCTAGGGCCTTCGCATTGACCTACATCCCCAGCCCTTTCTTTTTTTTTTTGTACTTTGAGACAAGGTCTTACTAAGTTGCTTAGTAGTCCAGGCTGGGCTGGAACTTGTGATCTTTGTGCCTCAGCCTCCCAGAGTGCTGGGATTACAGTTGTGCACCACCACACCTGGCTAGATATGAGCTTTTTAATACTTATGGGAATTTAAAATGTTATGTATTTTATTGATAACAAATGAAAGTTAAAATCAATAAGGAAGCTAATCAGTAATTTGAAACACATCTCCTTTTTTTCCTGGTTCTAGAGATAGAACCCAGGGCCTCGTGTATGTGAGGCAGATACTCCACCATTAAGCCAAACTCCCAGCCCTGAAATATGTCTTTTTCTGCTTTATTAGTGTGGTTGTAGTTTTTGCCATCTCTGAACCAGTTTCCCTTGGAGATGCATTAGAGGACAGTGTTTAGCATTCATTAGTTTTAAGTAGCAGTAATTTATGAAATGGTAGCTTAGTGTCTTTAGAGTTTAATTAATGTTTTGAATGTGATTAATTTACCACCCAGGGAAAATGTTAACTACTTGGAAAAAAAATGACAAAATGTAACTTATTATGAGGCCTTTACTTGAAATCACATTAGGTAGCCAAGTAGAGTGTTAAGTGATCGAACTTTGGTAGAAGACTCTTCTATACCTTTAAAGTTCTATTAAATGAATTTCCTAGGAATCTGGACTCTCACACACATACATTTGGAAACTTATGCTAAGATTTATTGAGTCATGAGGCTACGGCAGCAGTTGCTACTTTGGGCTTTTTCTTTCAGTGAAAGATGTCATGTATATCTGCCCTTTTATGGGAGCAGTGAGTGGAACCCTGACAGTGACGGACTTTAAGATGTACTTCAAAAATGTAGAGAGGGTGAGTTTTTTTAGTATTTTATTTTAAAAAACGATTTGGAACCAGTAAAAGAAGAAAGTAAGCAGTCTCCTGAAATCTCATCACAAGGACATAACCAGAGGGTGAGTTTTAATATGTCACATTTGCAAACAGATCTTATGTCTCAATCACAAGGCTTACTAGTTAAACCTGGAGAGGGGAGGTTTTGTTGTAGTCTGAACATAAACTTCATAAGGTATGCTATAAATCAGATTTCAGTTTCTTAGCTGGGACAAAGAGGAAATGCCGGGCTGGGGATTTAGCTCAGCGGCAAAGCGCCTGCCTGGCAAGCGCAAGGTCATGAGTTCAGTTCCCGGTACCGGAGAAAAACCACAAAAAAAAAAAAAGAGAAAATGCCAAAGTAAGCAAACATGTTTCCTAATGCAGCAAAGACTTAAAAGAAGGATACTCGTTGACTGACCTGGAGTGGCATTAATCTGAATTTTTAAACCTAGGACCCGCACTTTGTCCTTGATGTGCCCCTTGGAGTGATCAGCAGAGTTGAGAAGATTGGAGCACAGAGCCATGGAGACAGTTCCTGTGGTATAGAGATCGTGTGCAAGGTAGGCTCCAAACCCAAGTAAAACTACATGGGGTGAGCAGCTTAGAACTTTCTCTGACTCATCCTTCCTGTTCTTTGATAGTAACAGTAACTTTCACTCTTTGTAATCCAGCTGTTGTCAGGACAGCCCCTCCTTCAAATCTCATAGCAACAAATTGAAACCATCACAGACTCCATTAACGTAATTTTCTGTTGAAGTATTTCTAATTAACATGGTATATGACCCAAGTACCAATATTGTTACATCCCAGGGAAATCAAGTGGAGAGCAGAGATCAGTACTGTTTTCCAGTTTGTTGTTTCAAGACTAATTTTCAGAACAGTGGATAGTCAGTCTTTCTAAAGAGACAGCAAGATTCTTTAAATCCTGTCATTAAAGTTTCATGGTTATGTTGCAATTTTCACTTCGAGCTGTGCTTACTTATTTTATATGCTTTCTCCAGTGAGTTAAGTAGAAATGTGTGTGATAACTTTCATGAAAAGTAGTCACTTAAGAAGCACTCTGAATGAATGTTTTATTCTAAATGACTTTACCTCATGTAAAACAGTTTACTAAAAACCTACCTGAAGTACCAAGAAAGAGATCTGCCTGCATAATCGTCAGGGCTCCTCTCGAATCTGGGGTCTGGATTCCCACCCATCTGTTTCCTGTGATCAGATCCCTGAGGACCACTCTCCTCTGTTGGCCCTACACTGTAGTCAGTCTACTTTTCCCACGTCTCCTGGGCCGCGAGCCTGCGGCCTTACTGGGCTCACTTTTGGCGTCACATGGAAGTTGTTCTTCTCAGGCAGGGTTGCACATCCAGAACACGGCCAGCACCTACAGAACGTCAAGCAGAGGGGTGACTTGGTTGCTTCTGCAATTTTGAAAGCTCTCATTCCCCTTCTCACAATTCTCAAGTAGTTTCCTGTTCTCCTTGAGCTGAAGGAAAAGCTCCTTGTCAGGACCCTACCTGGCTGAGGCGGACTCACTTTCTTCTGCAGCTTCCCCTGAGCCAGCCTCACTTTTTTTTTTTTTTTTTTTTTTTTTTCCGGTACCGGGAACTGAACTCACAACCTTGCGCTTGCCAGGCAGGCGCTTTGCCACTGAGCTAAATCCCCAGCCCCCGCCAGCCTCACTTTATCCTTGCCTCCCAGTCCTGTCTCCTTTTGGGATTCGTATTTGCCTGACACCCACCTTTCATACATGCTAAGCGTGCACTCTACCAAACAGAGGCCCTCTGCACATGTTCCTCTTAGAGTGCTTTTCTCCCCAGCAGTCCTAGACAGTGTACCCCTGCTGAGGAGTGTGTGAGTAGCCAGGGTAGCTCAGACGGAGGACACAGCGGGAAATTATGCTGCTCTCGAAGGTGTCCTGCGGCTGTTTTGCTAAGATGTTTTTATGGCTAGGATGGGCATTTGCTGGCAGCTGATACAAATGTTTTCTAGCCTAGAATTACCAAGGCTAGGCTCCCGGCCCTCTCCTCCCATGCCTAAGAGCCTTGTAAGGTGTAGGGTATATTTTTTAACAGGCGGTTTACAATTTGAAGATACGAAAGCTATAGATAGTAAAAAGTAAGTGTCCCTCCCAACTCCCAGGCACTGTGTCATACAGTTCCTAATTCCTAATGTACACCTTCACAGACCGCCTTGTGCATATAAGCATGTATGTCTAGTCTTTCTTTGAAATTGTAAATGGTAGTATACTATATGCACTATTCTGTTCCTTTCTTTTTGCACTTGACAGTATATCTTGGAACTCCTTTATATCAATATGTATAGAGTTGCTTCTGATTTAACAACTTTTGTATTCTATTAGCTGGGTTATAGCCCCTACTGATGAACATTTGAGTTATTCCTGTTCATTTGCTGTTATAAATACTATCACAACAATGACCTCTTCACTTCCCAAATGGCTGCTGCTTTAATTTCTTTGTGGTCATATTTATTTTCCAATTTCATATAATGTTAAAAAAGAGTGAGAGTTTTTTGTTTAACTCAGAGGGGACATATGCTTTAAAAGGTTGGGGGCAATGCTCAAAACATGGACTTGGGAAGAAATCACCAGCAGAGCTGTACTGGATGGGGTCATTTCTGCCTGCTTGTGTGTGGGCCTTTCCCATCAGCTTGCATTCTGGAGGCATTTTAGGAAACAGTGGTCCTGAGAAGCACATTATAGTGCTGTAAGGATGTCACTGAGGTCCCCAGTCCCTATGTAATACAGAGTCCTTTCTGAAGGGAAAGTCTTTGCCACATTCTGTTTATAAGTGGTGTGCATTTTATAGTTGGCTTTTTTAGCAGCTTAAAGTACACAACCAATTGCATGGTGCACAGGGCTTGTTGACAGAGCTTTTGTGTATAAACCTTATTCTTTGATCTCTTAAAATTTTTCTCCCCATGCGTGTCCCCTTTATTCCACTTCCCCTGATTTTTTTTTTTTTTTTTTTATATCATTGAAGATACTTTTACCAGGTATGGTGGTGCACGCCTATAATCCCAGCACTCAGGAGGCTGAGGCTGGAGGATCTTGCAAGTTCAAAACCAGCCTGGGACACAAAGTAAGCTCAAGGCCAGCCTGAACTGCATAGCGAGACCCTGTCTCAAAAAGACCGGAAAAAAAAAAGGAGAAGAAACTTTTGTTAAAAGGAAAGGAGCATAACATGAGAAATGAATAAATACTTTATTTATACCATTGTATGTGGCTCGTAGATGCTTAGTACATGTTGAATAACTGACTTTTGCTAATTGTTTACTAGGATATGAGGAACTTGCGACTTGCTTATAAACAAGAGGAACAGCGCAAACTTGGGATATTTGAAAACCTCAATAAACATGCATTTCCTCTTTCCAATGGCCAGGTAAGTACACCAAAGTAAAGCTTTTCTTAGTGCATTTGTGGTGGTTCTGTAACTTCATGTTTAGTCATTTTTTTCCAGAAGTTTCCCTTATCTCTTTTTCTATGTTGATAACTAGTATTAGACTATTTGAATTTTGTCAGTTTTCTACAATGATTAAGAAAAGCTACCAATTTTTTTACTTAAAATTTGCAGATTGAAATAGGTATCTTAATACATTCAGCTCATCTCAGAATGAACAGCGTTAATATTTGGTATGTAGAATGAGATAAATACTGACGTGTGTTTGTGGTTTTTGTATCCAGGCACTATTTGCATTCAGCTATAAAGAAAAATTTCCAGTTAATGGCTGGAAAGTTTATGATCCAGTAGCTGAATATAAGAGACAGGTAAAGTATGTTGCTTATCAAGCTGAAAATAATAGGTTCAACACCTTTTTCTCTTCTAAAAAGTTAGAGGAGAAGAAACTTCCCACAAGGTGTACATGGCGTAACTTCTCCGTCTTTCTGGGTGCCCTTTTCTCCTACGCCAGCCTTTTGACTCTTGTCGTGGTTGTTTATCATCTTCCAGAGGGTGAGGGGGGCTAAAGGACAGAGGTTTCTAACAACACAGTCTTCCAGAAGGCTTCTATAAGTTGATATGGTTGTGATGAGGAAGGCCCCAAGCCCCTGGCTTAGGTTCAGTTTGGGGCCTGTGGTGGGCCCATCTTGGTAGGACATTGTGTTCTTGGGATGGGAATTTCTCGGAGCGTTGTGAGCTTTCTTGTTCTTTCCAGTACATTCTTATTGTCATGACATAGACTTTTAAGTTACAACCAAAATTCAGAAATAAGTGTGATTCATGCTTAGTACTTATCAAAGTGGAGAAGCATGTTTTCCCCTCTTCATTTTTCTCTGCCATTCTGCAGGGCTTGCCAAATGAGAGTTGGAAAATATCCAAAATAAATAGCAACTATGAGCTCTGCGCCACTTACCCTGCTGTCATTGTTGTGCCAACCAGTGTAAAAGATGATGACCTATCAAAAGTGGCAGCCTTTCGAGCAAAAGGCAGAGTTCCTGTAAGTAGTAAACATTGTCATTTAGATAGAAACATGTACTTCATTAGATCTAATATGGACAGATGCAGACAAAAAAATCCAGTGAACAAGATGGAAAGTAGACAGATAAACTTAGAAACCTGAAGAGAGCCAGTGGGGTGGTGCATACCTGGAATTCCAGCACTCAGGAGGCTGAGGCAGGCAGATCGCTGCAAATTTGAGTTTGGGGCTACATAGTGAGTTCAAAGCCAGCATGGAATACATAGTGAGACTATCTCAAAAAAGAAACAAGCAAAAAAAAAATCACAGAAAATAAGCTTGAACTTATCTTTCATTCTCAAGAAATATGAAAACATTCTTTCTTTTTTGTTATATCTCTCCCTTATATTTATATAGTTTCCTATTTCTAAGTTATGCTCTTGAAACATAGTAGAGAATAAAAAAGGAGTAGCAGGAAAGAGTATGCTTTTGCAGTAATAGTTTCCGTCCGTGCTCACACCAAATCATCCTAGAGAAAATACATTCGGTTCACGCTGAGTGGAGTGCTAGAGCTGCATGGGAGAGCGCTGTTAAACCAGTGTGGACAGCAGGGAGTGATGGATTTGCCCAGCATCTGCATCTGGTATGACCTGAGTCACTGGGGCCCTGGAGGAAAACGGGAGGTTTGGTGACAGAGTTTTAGATTTGACAAGAGACTATATTCACTTTGTGCTCACCCTGCCACATGTCTTATCATGGAGATAGATAGAGATTATTTTTTAATTAGGAGACAAGATAAAACTAGTCAATCAGATAGAAGTGAGGATAGATTCTACTAATAGTTTAACTTCTAGAATCGTAGAACTTGAGAACTCACCTGGTCAGACATATTTCAACCTGACCCAAGCATTGAGTCCCTTAGCCACTGCAGCACTGTGATTGGTCCGTCCACTCTCAGCTTTGAGGAGACTCCTCAGGAGAAACTACTTTTCCTACCAGGTAATTTGAGCATGTACTATTTTTGGGACTGTACTAATATCTGTTGCTTCCAAACACTAGGTGTTATCATGGATTCATCCGGAAAGTCAGGCAACGATTACCCGCTGCAGCCAGCCACTGGTGGGCCCCAGTGATAAACGCTGCAAAGAGGATGAAAAATACTTGCAGACAATCATGGATGCTAATGCACAGTCACACAAACTTATCATCTTTGATGCCCGACAAAACAGTGTTGCTGATACAAACAAGGTACATTCTTAAAAGCCCCGCAGAAACATAGGCTGTCTCTTACCCACTTCCTGTAAGTTGTGCGTTTGCACCAGCTCACTGGGTTCCTCTCCACCTGAAGTGAGAGGCTTTTGGAAGGACATGGTTGTCCCTCCCTGGTTTGTACTCTGTGGGCTTTTTTCTGCTTTTCCACAATCCTGCCTGTTGCATCAATTAAGTAAAGACTCAGAGAATTATCTAAAAGATTAAGTATTTTAATGAAATGATTGTGAGACCCCACGAAACAGCGGTAGTGTACATCGGAAGACAGTGCATCACAGTACGATCACTTCTGCAGGCAGCTCCCATTTGATCCCCACTAACTGAAGGTGTTTGTGTGCTTCGTACTGAGTGAAAGCTTGAAGTCAGACCTGAAGTCCTTGCTATCCAAACAGGAAGTTCTGATTTGAGGCATGTCCGTGTACTACAGATGGCTTTGGGATAGTATGCTGCTGCAGGTAGGCATTTGGCAGTCAGAGGACCTTGCCCTCTTAAGTAATTTCAGGACTAGAAAGGTGACAACAGTTCTTGCCATCTCATGCCAGAAACTACAATAACCCTTGAGTAGCACACGTCTAATGAACACCTGCTAGGGCAGGGCGCTGGGAAATCCAAAGCCAAAAGAGGTAAGGTGCTACAAGTCAGGGGTGTGAGCTCTGTGTGCTGGGGGAACTGCACAAAGCAGGTAGCACTGAGCTGGGTTGGCATGGTCAGCGGGCAGAAATGGGCGGAGCATTCCAGGCTGCATGAGTGCCTGTCCAACAGTCGTGCAGGCTGTGCCACTCTCCAGAATGAGGATGACTACAGGCCTGGTCACTAACCTAACCTCATCACATGCCCCTCTGCAGTGCTTGCGATCTGACTTCGACTCTGTCAGCTTGCTCCTTTTCTTTCCTCAATGATTATGCCAGCATTGACCACAGTCTCCAAACAGCCAGCCCCCTGCCTCCCTTTGGCTGATTCTTCTTCCCCTTCCTACCGTTCAAGTGGGGGTGCACCTTAACTTGGTCTGGGTCCTCTTTGCTACTCTGCACAATCTCTCCAGCCTCTCTCCTGGCTTCCGATGCCAGGACTTTCAATACTGTGTGTATGCTGAGTGTGACTTCAGTTTTACACCTCAGTTTCTATCCTTCCTGTTGTGTGCTTTACATCTCTCAGCTCACAAGATCGCAGAGAACTCCACCAACCTAAGAGTCAGTGTGGTGGAGTTGTGAGAACCTTTGGCTTTGGACTCAGGTACACCTGGCTTTTCTCCAGGGGCTGCCACTTCGTGCCCTGTTAGAACTCTGTGCAAATTATTTAACCTCTATCTAAGCCTCAGTTTCCCGCTTCTGCAAAACTGCAGGTAGCACCAGCGTTTTGCATCAGGGCTTCTACGAGGATTGCAGTGAAGGGAGAATAGAGCACATAAGAACTCAGCCTGGTGGCGGGTGTATCGCCAGCACTCCGTACTTGATGCTGATGTGCCTGTGGTCCCCCTTGGTCAAGGGGCTGACCGGGTATCTGGCCTGGTGAGTGGTGGCGTCAGTTATTGCAGCGGGGAGCCTGGGAGAAGAACAGAGCAGGCAGCAGGGTGGGGAGGTCTTGGTTTCCTGGGGCTCGAATACAGACTTGACTTACAGCAGCAGAAGTGCGTTGCATCACTGTGTTGGAGGCCAGCAATCCAAAATCTGCCAGGACTGTGCTCCCTCAGAGGGCTCCGGGAAGACTCTGCTGCTTGCTTCTTCCGACTTCTGGTGGCCACGCCAGCATTCTTGGACTTACAGCCTCACTGCTGTAATCTCTACATCTGCCTTCCTGTAGCCTCCTCTTCCTCCTCCCGGTTTCCACATCTGCCCCTCTTCCTCTTCTAAGGATACTTGCACTGGCATTTAGGGCCCACTTGAGGTAATCCAGGATTATCCCGACATCTCATGATCCTTCACTTGGGTCACATTCACAGCTGCCGGGGTTTAACATGTGTTTCTCTGGCAGGACCACATTTTGACCTCCCACAGGGAGGCATCCTTCAGCAGGAAGCCCTCCTTGCACTCCGTGGAGCATTAGTTAAGTCAACTTTTGTACATCTCTGCATCCTTCTTGTCACCACTGTGGTATTATGTCAAGGAATTACAAGATGTGAGAAAAGCGTTATTCACGGAGGCGATCTTCTAAGCATTGAATAGTGCAAGGGCAGTTCATTGTATTTTACCCTGCGCAGAAGAGCTAGACACCCAATTTCATGTCTGCAGTGATTTTTACTGTAGCGATGTATATGGCTGGAAACATGAAAGGCTGTTTGTTTGTCTAAGTCCCCATCAGATGTTCTGTGCATATGTTATATGCATATAGAGAGTTTGACTTCTGTCTCTAAGTTTGAGTGTGGGATGTTTTATTCCAGCAACAAGGAAAGTGACTAAGAGCCACCCAGTTTGTGATAACTGCAACAGCAGCCCTGGGAATCTAATTTAATCCCCTTAAGTTCTTGGTGTAAGTCCCACTTAGTCATGGTGTGTGGTACCCTTAATATGCTGCTGGATTTGCTTTGCCAGTGTTTTGTTGATTTACGTTCTTCGGGGATACAGGCCTGTAGTTTCCTTGTGGTATCTTTGTCTGGTTTGGTATCAGGGCACTACTGGCTTCATACAGTGGGTTAGAACTGGGCCAGGCCCATAAGTGGGTATCCTGGGACTGTGACACAAAAGGCTGGCTGACCCTAGTCACGGTCATCTCTGCATAGACCATTGGTGGTGAGAGAAGACCTGATGGCGAGTGGCATGGGATGTTACATTAAAACCGCCTACTCCGCTAGAGAGGCAGAGTGGCAGCACCCAAGGAGTTTAAGGGAGATTTCCTTTTCAGAACCTGTGATGCTGAGGGCAGGAGTTCGGCATTTGAGGCACTTGTGTGGGGAGGTTAAGGCTGTGGAATGCAAAATGAGGTCAGGCCTGAAGTTGAAATTGTTGGGTGGTGGCTGCAGCCTCGGGGGGAAGGGGAGGAGACGCGGTCTCTGAGCAAGGTCTTCGCAGGGAAAAAGAAGTTCAGTAGGGGGAGAGTGGCTGATAGTAGGAGGCCAGGAGTGAGGGAGGAGCCCAGGAGGGAGAGAGGGTCCTAGAAGCCAGGAGGAGGAGGGGGAGAAGGCGGCGTGCCGACCTTGGAGTCTGCTAGCATGTTCGCGTGCTATGCCCCACCCCCTGCAGCCCTCACCCAGGCTTCAGCTCCCCCTGGGAACCTACCCCACTGTAGCTGATGGGCGTGCTGGGAACAGAGAGCTTGTCACGGTGCCTGGCGTGAGGCAGGCCTCCCACAACCGCAGAAAGGCAGCGCTTCCCAAGGGACACTCGGTTTTCTTTTTGCACATGATTGGCGATGGTCCCACTGCCACTGCTATCAGCTTCTATTTGGGGACTTGGGCAAAGATGGTAACAGTGTCTCCATGTCACTGACTTGTCTCGGGAACCTTACTTTGCTCCTGCAGAGAGAGGTATGGCCAGCAGGTTCTTATTTTCCAGAACCCTCCAAATCTTACCCTCCTGCTGCTGCCTGGGTATACGTGAGGTGAGGTCCTTCCTCACCCACTTTCTCTTGTGTCTGCAGATGTCCGGGTACCTGTCCTTTGCAGCCTGGTGTGGGATTGGCATGTAATGCTCATTTGACTCCCTCACTTCACTGTTTGATGATCATTTTTCTCATTTGTATTTTTATGATCAGTTTGCAGACAGAAAATTAGCCTTCAATATGATCTCCTGGTTGACTGACACCAGCTCTTGGCACACACACATTCTGTGTGCCAAAGTGCTGAATCCGCCTTTGGCCCCAGCTTGGCACCTCACAGAGCTTCCTCACTCCAGGCCACTGACTAGGCTGGTTCCTCGGTCAGTGATGGCGAACCTTTTAGAGCTTTCAATGATAACAAACAGCTGGCTGTAGCACACGTGCCATAGACTCACTACCATGCAGTAGGTCATCCCTGTCCGGCTCCCTTCAGGTCACCTGCCTTTCATGTGCCCACAGCCCGGGCTGCGGTGCCTTCTGGACGACAGGCTCACAATGTGCAGGTCATGGTCTGCAGTCCCAGCCAGGCCCTCAGAGCCACTAGGCTGTCCTCTCATTTCCCCGGCAGCCCCTCTGTTCTCCACAAGGCCATTTCAACCTATTTATGACTCTGCTGGTGTGTGGCCCTGCCCCATCCCTTATCTCCTTCCTTCTTGACAGAGCACAGATTGTCAGAGAGGACCTTTTGCCCATCCTGCCTCCCATTGTCATGGAAGAGGTTCTCCCACTAGCCCTTCCTGCCTGCTCAGGGACCTCACCTGGTCATCTGTCTGTCTGTCTGTCTGCCTTCCATCATCACCCATCCATATGCCAGTCACTTCTATATTGACACCTACAGCTCAGACCACTCTGAGGCCTATATACGGCTGGCGCTCACTGTACTCAAAGCCAGACCATCTCCCTGCGGAATCGGCTGCTTCTCCAATCTCTCACATTGCCCAGCACAGAATCATGGGCGTTGCCTGGCCTAGCCACAGCATTGGTCAGCCACTGGGTCCTGCCTTTGAAAGATCTCAGGTCACCTGTGTCCCTGTGCCCTGCTGCCTTCACCGTGCCTGCGCCAGCTAGATGATTGCCCGTTGCTGTACTGGTCACCTACCGAAGGTCCCCCTTCCACCAGCCCCTTCTCCCCAGGGTGGCTGGGGCTTCTCAGTAGAGAGGCTGATTCTCTTTGGTCTTGCCGTCTGGCCCTGCCGTGCTCTCTGGCTCATCGCTCTTTGTTGTTTGCCATTGCCCGCGACTTCTCTCTGCTGAACTTCTTATGCTCCTGTCAGAAAGCCATGTCCTCATCCACCTCTGTGTCCCCTTTTCCTGGCTGTTCTCGTCCTTCCACCCTAACTCGTGTTTCCTTCCCTTCTGGTCATCCAGGCCTGGCTGTGCTCTGCTGGATCTGGTCCCTGCAGCCCTGTGCTGCCTTCAGCCCCTACCCGCATTACCAGACTCGGGGGGTTGTGGTTCCGACCTCTGGCTTTAGCTCAGGGCTGGGCATTCATATGAACTTGGTAAATAATAGGGGACTAAATGAAGAGTGTCTTTGGGTCCACAGATGTGTTTTTTGTTTGTTTATGCATTTATTAAGATCAAATTCTGGTAACATAAAACTCACCACTTTAGCCACTGCATAGTTTACAGTTCACAGACTAGAAATACATGCACAGTGTTAAGCAATTAGCATCACTGTCTAATTCCAGAGCGTTCTCATCATCCTATATGTAAACTCCATACCCATTAGTCAGTTCCTCCTCCAGCCCCTGACACCACTAACCCACTTTTATCTCTGTGAATTCCCCCATTCCGGCCACTTCATATAAGTAGAATCACATAATATGTGATTTTTTATGTCTGGCTGCTTTCACTTGTTTTCAAGGTTTGTCCCTGTTTTAGCATTAGTACATCATTCCTTTTGGTAGCCAAATAATGTTCCATTGTACAGGCAGACAACGTGCTGTTCATCTGTCTGTTGATGGATATTTGAATCATTTTTCTCTTCGGCTGTTGTGAATAGTGCTGCTACAAATGTTTGTGTACAGGTTTTGTTAATAATCCGTGTTCTAGACTCTGCAAGATGTTTTCCCAGGAGTGGAATGGCTGGATTGTAAGACATTTTTCTTGAGGAACCACCAAACTGTCTTCCACAGCAGCTGTGCCATTTTATATTCTCATTAGCAATATAATAGTGCTCGTTTTCTCCACATCCTCATCACAGATGTGTTTTGAATGTTGATCTCTATACAAGATAAGCTAATTGTAGACCAGATTATATTATGAGATTACCAAGGAGCAAACCATACCTTTTTGTAACAGATGCATTTTATTTTACTGAAATTACTTAGATAAATTTCCTGGTTTGAGACCTCCAAATTGCTCTATAGTTAGAAATTTTATGGTAGTACAACTTTTCTAATCAGGTTGCACTGATTAGATCTGATTTCTAATCTGATAGATGGCACTAACAGAATGAAGCTGTTTAAACCTAATTCTTTTCGACTGAGAGTTGGTTGTTAGTGGTTTAAAAATTGATAATGATGAAAGAAGATGATTATGATTTGATTTGTATCCCCAGAAAAAAGATGTGTCGAAGTCTTAACTCCACGTACCTGTGAATGTGACCTTATTTCACAATAGGGTCTTTGCAAGTGTAATCAAGATAAGGTCATGTTAAATTAGGGAGGGCCCTAATTGGATGGGAAGGGTGTCCATATAAGAAAAGAAGATGCAGAGACACAAGCAGAGGGGAGAAAGTTAAGTGGAGATGGAGGCAGAAGTGAGCATGATAGGTCTGTACCCAGGGGTGTCTGGCACTGCCAAGCGCTGGGAGACCCAAGGGAGATCCTCCCTGAAGGCTTCAAAGGGAGTGTGGCCTGCCAGCACCTCGATTTCAGACTTCCTGCCTTCCCGACAATGAGATGATAGGTCTCTGTTGTTTTAAGCTGCCCAGTCTGTAAGACTTTGTTCCGGCAGCCCTGAGGCACACATTCAAGGGTAGAGGAGGTTTTCTAACAGACGCGTTTCCTGCTGCTTTGATGGCCTATATCTGGCAGCACTGGAAAGAACAGAAAAGCTAATTCCAGATGAGATGATGTATAACTTGCTTTTCACAGGCAAAAGGTGGAGGATACGAAAGCGAAAGTGCTTACCCAAATGCAGAACTCTTGTTTCTGGAGATTCACAACATTCATGTGATGAGGGAGTCACTGCGGAAGTTAAAGGAGATCGTGTACCCTTCCATTGACGAGACTCGGTGGCTGTCCAATGTGGACTCGACGCACTGGCTGGAATATATAAGGGTAAAGGCTCTAGTCTTCATCTGCCCTGCTGTTAGGACCGACCTCCGTCTGTGCCATACATATGTGTATCACTAAGTGATCTCTCAGCATGACGGAGAAGCACATCTTTGCTATGTATGTGTGCTTTCTTAGTGTCTGTGGCGGCTCCCGGACTGTGGTCTCTGTGGACAGCTGTTGTGACATAATCAAGGGGGTAATACTTGACTCAGGTCAGATTTTTAAGAGAACTCTGTGGACCTTTAGTAAAGGTCCCTGTTTACTGCTGTAGTTTTTCTTAGTATGAGTGTTTTTTTAAAATTTTACGTAATGTTACCGTTTCTTATTTGTTCTCAAATTGATTACATGGCATTTTTTTTTACTTTTTTTTCCGTCCTGGGGCTGGAACCTAGGGCCTGATATGTACTTGGCAAGTGGTCTACCCCTGAGCAACACCCCTAGCCCCCTGCATGGCATTCTTGTTTGGTTTATTGACCAGGGCTTCCAAAGTTCTCCCCAGAAATATTTCACGCAGTACTTGAAATTGACCGTAGACTTGTCTGTTGTGCCTTCTTCTCTGAAGATGCTTCTTGCTGGGGCAGTAAGAATCGCTGATAAAATAGAATCTGGGAAGACCTCTGTGGTGGTGCACTGCAGTGATGGCTGGGACCGAACAGCCCAGCTCACATCACTGGCCATGCTGATGTTGGACAGTTACTACCGGACCATTAAAGGATTCGAAGCTCTCATAGAAAAAGAGTGGATAAGCTTTGGACACAGGTTTGCACTGGTAGGTTGAGATGGTGAAGTTGTGCCTGACTGTTCTGCCCCACATGCATGCACCGTACACAGCACGTTTGGGCCTTCTCCTCTGTACCAGACCTGAACGTCCGTAATGGTGTACCACGGACCCCAACTTGGCATGGTCCTGGTAGGGCTTTTTTAAAATGGAGTTTTGCCTTTTTTAACAAACGAAGTAAAACTCACATAACATACAGTGAACCATTTTAAAGTGCTCAAATCAGTGAATAGAACACTCAGTGTTCTGTAACGGTTACCTCTGTCAAGTCCCCAAACATGTTGACTACCTCAGATGGAAACCCTGTCCAGCTTAAGCAGCCACTTCCTGTTTCCCCCTCCCTTTAGCCCTGACAGCCACTAATCTGCTTTCTGTCTCTCAGAATTCGCCTATTCTAGAGATATAAGTAGAATCATGTAATATTTGTCTTCCCATGACTGTCTTTTATTTTGCTAGGTATGATGTTTTCAAGGTCGATATATATGGCCAAATAGTACTCGCTTGTGCATGTTATATCACTGGGTGACTTAAACAATGGAAATATGTTTCCCCACATTTGGAGAAATTTCCTGATTTGGAGAAATCCAAAATTGGGTCACCAGCAGGGTTCTCCCGAGGGCACTCTGCTTGGCTTGGCAGATGATGCCCTCTTGCTGCTTCTTCACTTGGTCTTTCCTCTGTGCATGTGCCCCAGGTATCTCCCTGTGTGTCCAGACCTCCTCATCTCCTAAGGATGGGGGTCATATCGGTAGGGCCCACTCTGATGGCCTGAGTTTAACTTCACCTCCTCAAAGGTCCTTTCTCCAGATATAGTCACTTTCAGAGGTATTGGAGGTTAGGGTTTCAATTTGGGGGCCACGTCACTCAGCCCCCAACAACCTGCTGTCAGTTTGAGGAATATATGCCTAGGGGTAGACTCGCTGGGTCATTTGCTGGGGTATGCTTGGGCTGCCTTTGTGTTTTAGTCGAGTTGGCAGCCAGTTCTTAGTCTGTAGCCTGTTGAGAGCTCGGGGATTGATCTTCACCATGGAGTGAGTCTAAATACTCCCAAAGGCCCAGTGAGATTCGCCACGGAATACAGGATGGGTCGTGCAGAGACTTCAGTAGCCTTGGCACGTGGACACCAAGTGTAGCAGCTGTACCTGCCATATTGGGGAGGATAGCAGGAGAGGCCTTTGCAGAGGGAAGGGGCAGGGCCACAGACCCTTCTACATGCCCCTCCCTGCCACTCTCTTGCCTTGGTTCCTACCCTGAAAGACAGGGCATGGTGTGGGGAAGGAGCTTGGACGTATGAGTGCTTAGGGCAGCACTTGGTCCTTGCTAGTGCTGGCTAAATTCGGGAGCTCTTGTGGTTATTTTTAAAGACTACTGTGAATACCATTGTTTCTTCCTCTTCAGCAAGGGCTGGGCTCAGTGGGGAACAGAGGGGGTAGGGGACCTTTCCAGATGTTCTCTTCCATCGTTCCTCCTGAAGCTGTGTCCTGAGAGGGCAAGACTGGCAGGGAGCCTTCACTCAAGGGACAGCAATAAGGGCTGTCTGCTGAGAGGCCAGGACCGGCAGCACATGCCAGGGCTGAGCAGGAGTGCATGTGTCAGGATGATAGACCCACGGTGCTGCGCTCCCATCTGTCTTTTCTACCTGGACTCTCCATACCATGGCCGCAGAGAAGGCACAATGACCAGGAGAACCATCATGGCCCCCACTGTGTGACCAGCACAGTGACTTGTATCATTTATTTAACCTCAAAACAGGTGCTGTCATTGGGAGCTGGGGAAACTGAGCCTTCAGGAGTGTGGGTTATCTGCTTGAGGTCACCACACAGCTAGTTTGATGGGAGCCTGCATTTAAACAGTGCTTTAATGCCTGCACCAACCCACTGCAGTCCCTGTACTCTACCTTACCTAGGGGTTCTGGGAATGAACACCTGAGCCCCGAGTCCAACTCCTGCCCTTGGGCACCTGCTGCGGCCCCTCCCTCATGGCCTTACAGGGAGCTTGCTGGCCATTCTTCCTCTCCTGCCTCCATCCCTACTCTCCCCTAGGTCATTCCTATTGGAGTAGAACTATGCCGCTATGCCCTAAAAACCCTTCTGAGCCCACACCCCCTGTGCTGTCACCCCAGTTACCTGCTACCGGTGCTCCTCAAAGCTGTTGTCTGTACTCACTGTCACTGCCTCTGTCCTTCTCATCTGTCTTGACCCCACGTTAGTCACAGCCCCCAACCCTGCCCTGCAGCTGCTCTTGTCACAGTCTGCAGTGACTACCACTTTGTCAAGGCTGTGTCTTGTTTGGCTTGAGCACTTGATGCTATTGATTGTCTTCTCCGGCGAACACTTTCTTTGCTTGCCTTCTGGGTCTCTACAGCCTCTGGAATTTCCTCTCACTTTGCTATTTCCAGCCTCATAATGTCAGGCCGCACTGGGGTTCTGTCCCCGGATGCTTCCTCTTCTCTCCCCAGTGCCCTCAGCCACTCCCATGACTTCGCACACGTGTACTCCAATCCTCTCCACCCTCTCCTCAGCCAGTGCCGCCCCTTTAATTCAGATCTAGCCATCTCCCTCTGGCAGTTTCCCAAGTAGCCTCTCTGCAACTTGTCCCCGTCCAATCTGCCGTCCCCACTGTGGCTCAGTGGGGCATTCTGAAAACAGGTCTGATGCTGCCACTGCACAGTGTGAGCCCCCTCATGCCTTCCTGTGGCCTGCAGGATCGTGAGTGACTCATCAGCGTGGCCCTCGCCACCTCTCCAGCCTCAGCTCTCCATTCTTCCTGTCTCACCCCTGAGCCTCAGCCATGCTGCTTATGGCTCCCCTTAGTGTCCCCCTCCGTGTGCACACTGCTTGTAGTAAGTTCCTGGCCACCGGGAAGCAAGCATCTCCCTGTCATTTAGAGTTTATCTACATGAGACCTCCACCATAAGTGTCACTCGTGTGACTTTCCCCTTGTATCCTCCCCATCCCCACCCTAGGATGGCTCACACATTCCTCTGTGCCCTCCCCATACCCCTTGCATACTTGGAAGGCCTTACAGCACTTTAGCCCTTGTTACTTAACCAGTATTTCTCCCTTCATGAGACCACAGTTCGTCATTAAGCACAATTACTTATTTGTCTGGGTATTCTAGGTGCCTAGCCAAAGACTAGGCCTCTACCAGATTCCTCTGAAAGACCTGAATATCAGAGGGCAGGTATGCCACATTGCACACACGACTAGAGTTCCCTGGGTATCTACTATCAGTGCAGAACTATTCTCTAAGTGCCATAAATACTAAAGAGGTTCTACAAATCATTTTATGTAGAGGGAGTGCAGAAATAAGGCAGTGTAGCCAGGTGTGGTGGCGCACGCCTGTAATCCCAGCACTCTGGAGGCTGAGGCACGAGGATCCTTGTGAGTTTGAGGCCAGCCTGGGCTACAAAGTGAGCTCAAAGGCAGCCTGAACTGCATAGCAAGACCCTGTCTCAAAAAGGGAAAAAAAAGAAAAGGAAATAAGGCAGTGTGTGCAGCTTCTATGGAAGAGTGTGGCAGTTCCTTAAAAATAGCATTCCATATGATCCAGCAATTCCATTTATAGGAGCATACCCAAAAGAAGTAAAAATGGATTCCAGCAGATATTCATTCATTGATGTGTACAACGGCATTAATCACAATAGCCCAAAGGTGGCAGCTGCCCAGCTGTCCATCAGCAGATAAGTGGATAAGCAGATTTGTCTGGCCATACCATGGAATGTTATTCAGTCTCTACAAGAAAGGGGATGCTGACCCGTGCTCCAGTGTGGGTGCACTTTGAATGTATCCCATTAAACAAAAGCAGCCAGTCACGCAAAGATCAATACTGTGTTTTCCACTTACATGAAGGAACTAGAAGGGTCAGACTCAGAAAAGCAGAAAATGGAGTGGCTGTTGCCAGGGACTGAGGGGAAGAGGTCGGGGCTCATGATCAGTGCGGACAGTTTCAATTGGGGAAGGTGGAGCAGATTCTGGACGTGGGTGGTGGTGATGGTGAGGGTTTAAACCAGAGGCATCACAGTAAATCTTTGGAAAAGGTGCATTATGGGCGTATATAATGCCTATGTTTATTTTTAGGGGTATTTTTATTGATGAATTATTAATTTTAATTTGATGAGTTTTATTAAACACTATGTACTTAACAGGAAAATAAAATATCAATAAAATAAAATATTAAATTTTAATATGTAATGAGTGTGTAGGATAAACATGAACACCTTTAACATCAACTGTTTTCCTGCTTATAAGATCTAAAAAAAAGCAGCAGAAATAAATTCCTATGTGAAGTACAGTGAAAATACAAATAAAACGCTACCACACAATCTTTGCTTTAATGATCACACCTAAGGCAATCTTCAGACATGACACCAGCATGTCCCATACACAAGTCTCACACTGACAGCACATGTGCTTAGCTTCCCTGTTTGGCAGGCCATACTCACTGCCCTTGTCTTACTCTTCTGTCAGGAGCTTCCTATTATATTACAGTGTACACTTACCAGGACAATGAAATATCAATAAAATAAAATATCAGATATATACTGAGTGTTTAAAATAAACATCAGCGTTTTCTACATCAACTGTTTGCTTGCTTACTGAATCTAAAAAATAAGAGAAATAAATTCCTATGTGAATTACAGTGAAAATACAAACAAAACTCTAACACAAAAATAATCTTTATTTCAATATCACACCTGTGGCAGTTTTCACACATGAGAACAGCATGTTCTGTACACAAGTATTGCTTGTGTTTTGTCTTCCTGTCTTTTTTGGTAGGACATGTTTGACATCTTGTTGGTCTTCCTGTTTTCCTAGGAGGTCCTTAAGATGTTTTGCCAGTCTGCTCAGAATTCTTTTGTGGAGTTCTTTGGGCAGATACATATTGTTCTTCCTTTGTTGTAATTAATGATTTATCAATTCCAGTCCCAATCCTCTAAGAAAATTTCTCCATGATATTTTGTGCTTGACATGTTTAGGATTGAGTAAAACTCAACCATTGCCCAGTGCTTTGTGTTTTGAATGGCACTGTAGTTGCTGCATAACTCATCAACAGCATCTACTCTGCCTTTTGTTTTATTGTGTAATGTAACCATTTCTAGCTTCATTTGTGTTGAGGATTCATTATCAATGTTTGTTTATTTTTAGAAAGGGTCTTGCTAGTAAGTTCACGCTGTCCTTGAACTCACTGTGTAGCACTGGATGACATTGAACTCACAGGATCCTCTTGCCTCAGCCTCCCCAGTACTGGGATTACAGGCCTGAACGACCATGCCCAGCCTCACTATCAATTTTATCATCGTGATGTAACATTGACAGTGTTGACATTACTGTTTTTCTTCACCATATTGTAGTCCAGGCTAGTCTGGAACTCACTATGTAGCCGAAGCTTTCCTTGAACTCACAGGGTCCTCCTGCCTCAGCCTCCTGACTGCTGAGATTACAGGCCTGCACAACCACATCCGCCCAGCTTCATTATCTTACCATCTTGGCAAGATATGTCCACGGTATCAATAATACTTGATTTTTCTTCAACATCTAGGAGGCCAGTGTGATGTCTTTGAGATCAGAAGATTGTACCATACATTTCTATACCATGAACTTGCAACAGCTTTTCAGGAAGCTCTGCTTTGTTCTTGCCAGTAGTTCCTGTGCTGGTCCACTGGTGTTATTTTTGTTTTGTTTTTAGCAAATGTAACATCAGTGGCTAACTAGTGAACCAATTGTTGGATGTGACATTTGGGTTACTTTCTGAAGTAGGTGCAACAAGTCTGTTCGTAACGTCATGGCATTTATTACTGCGCAAATAAAGACCTGATGGCTGAGTTCCAGGAAAAATTTCTAAATTTAAGATGTGAAATGTCTTTGCATCTCCCACAGCATATATTTTTACACCATATTTGGAAGGCTTATTTGGCATATATTGCCAAATCTTCAACAACCAGGAAATAATGCAAGTTGTTCGTCAGTTGTCATGTATTCAGATGATGTATAAATTGCTTGACAGTTCAGAACAAAGCTTTCAAAAAATGAGTAAATAGCAGCCAAATTGTCAGATTTTTTTTCTTTCTTGGTAGATCTTTTTGTCATCAAGACATAGGCAGTTTTGAGATAAACCAAATCTCTTGAATATCATTATTGTAAAAATCTGAGCACCACACCTGTCACTTCTCCATAAATCCTTTAGAATCTGACAATTAGAATGATAAAGTCCAGCTGTGAAGGCTTTTAGTTCAGATAGTGAGGTGTCATGATAAATGTATTTTTGAGTATTGATGCATATAGAATGTTTTACTTATATTTCATTAGTAGTGTATTTCAAAACATCTTGTAGCACATCATCCATTGCAAACAATTCCCACCATTGAATCACAGTTTTAGCATTCCATCCGGTAGGTTTCATCCTGGCAAGAACCTAATAAAATTTTCTGACCTAACATTGGACTGTTCAGGTATACATGACCATTTTGTAGCGCTTTGACTAATCAGATATTGACTTACACTACTGTTTTCTTGGTCATCTTATCAAGGTCTTCATTCTGCCCTTCTCTATCTTCTTATTCTTTGGCTTATATGATCCAAGTCATCATTGGCAGCTGCATCACCAGATGACTCACTTTCATCCTCCTCCCAAAGTTGTGAAAGCAGATTTTCATCTGACATGGTACTGAATTGGGCTGATTCTATAAGAAAAATGAAAAGACATATGATAAAGAATTATAGACAAAAATGTAGCAACGGTGTATACTGTGGGTAAAACTCATCCCATGACACTTTTGACACACATGCTGTTCATTGTACAAATGGATGAACACAAGGATTGCTTTCTGTGTTCACCCAGCCCAGCTACTGAGACACACAGCTAGCTACCATTTTGCTAAAGTACATATTTTCATTAGAAAAATATGGTCGGGGTGTTTTTTACCCACCACAGTCCCCTTTGGGTAGCCACTAAATGGTGTACTTTTAAGTATTAAGTTATTAAATGATTAAAGTGGTAAATTTTTAATATATTTTACTACAATTAAAAATGAAAGCAATACACTGTTACTCTGAGATGTTGACATTGACTTGGTCATCTTCTTGTTTTTACGTCTTTCTGGAGAGCAATTTCATGGATCAAGTATTTTCCATTCTCTCTGTGCTGATATGCTGATTGTGTTCTTCCTTCATGATTTTTCCCCTTATCATCTTTTTGTTTAGCCATCAGGTTATTTGAAGCTGCTCTGGAACCCTTACCCCTTAGCTGTCTTTTTACTTGTGACATCTTTGGTGTTGTTGGCAATCCTATTTATGTAGTTGAGGATGTTACCTTTTGGTACAAATCACTAATACAAATATCAGGAGTTATAAAAGGCAACACTAGGCTTCCTTATTTAGGACTCTACCCCATTAGCATTTCAAGAGTGAGATTTTAGCCTGCTCTGAGTCATGCAGAGTTGGTTAAAATCTGTAGGTTTTTAATCACAGTTTTTGACAGTTTAGACTACCTGCGATTTGTGGAAGACAGAAAAATGTGTTTACACTATGGAGAAAACGGCATTCATGATATACTTTGCAAGCTGTTCATTGGAACTCTTGCATTGGTCCTGTGCACTTGGTACACTACTTATTCTTGCACCAAAAAGCCAGCAAGCCAGTTGCTTATCATTTCTTGAGATCAGCTTTAGAAAGCAGTGAACATGTAAACCTATAGTAAGCAGAAATTTGGTTTCCTAACAGAAATGAAAGTCAATTCATTTTCATGAGCAGTTTTGAGTGCCTTTTTTTTTTTTTTAGCATTGGGAATTGAACTCAGGGCCTGTGCATGCTAGGCAAGCACTCTACCCACGAGCTGTATCCCTGTTAGGCTTGATGAGATATAGGGTACTCTTGCCACCAGGCAATTTAAAGTGACTTGTTAGAAGACCATAACACTCAAAGACATTTAACCTTTTGTTTCTTTTCAGCGAGTGGGCCATGGCGATGACAACCATGCAGATGCTGACCGATCACCCATATTCCTTCAGTTTATTGATTGTGTTTGGCAAATGACAAGACAGGTAAGAAATTTCAAATACGTTTCTGACCTATCAGCTTTTCAATTCAAATACATCTTAGATAAATGCATTAGTCAGCTTTTCACTGCTGTGACAAAATACCTGGGAAAGTCAACTTAAAGGATAAAAGGGTTGCTTTGGAGGTTTCAGTCTGTGGTCAGCTGGCTCCATTGCTTCTAGGCCTGTGGCAAGGCAGACACATCATGGTGGAAGGGCATGGCAGCCAGGAAACAGAGGGGAGAAAGCCAGAGAAAGGGGCTAGGAGCAGATCCCCAAGGTCATAGTCCCATGATCTGCTCCGTTCAACTGGGCCCCAGCACCTGTTTCCATCGCCTCCCAGTCATGCCATCAAGTTGTGATTTCATCAGTGGCAAGCCATCATTGGTGAAGTTAGAGCCCCACGAGCCAGCTGCTCTCCCAAAGCTTGTCAGCAACAGTGAGTCTGTGAGAATATGTTAGATCTCAACCATAACAGTAAGCTTTCATTGTTTCATTCAAAAAGAAGGTTTGTATGTATGTAATATATGACCCCTTCTATTATTTAGTACACTTTGATTCTAATTCACTTAGAAATATAAGCAGAAAATTAGAAACGATCAGTTTCACACCCAAAGTTTCTTTTCTTCTGCAAGTGGTTTTTGTCAAGTCTCTTGTCCAGCATCTGTGCAAGCCAAGGCTCTACTCTAGTTAATTCTGCTATTGCTCCCTTTTTGTGTCAAGTTAAGGAAACCTGCTCAGCCTCCTGCTAGGCAGTTAACCTAAGATTTGGCCAGATAATAGAGATGGGATATGGCTAAACTGCTAGTAAGTGGAGTCATTGCTAGGAAATCCAGGAATCTTCATGCTCTGCCCCACACCACAGCCTTTCAGGCCTGAAGGTCACCGGGGAAATGTGTGTCCGGAGACAGATGGCAGGGAAGAAACTATATAGCGTCTTACCATTAGCTGTTCCATAGCGCCCAACTCCAGTGCACGGGGCCCTAAGCCAGGAGCCATGCAGAGGTCCTCCTTCCCTAAATTAGGCCCCATGGCTTCAGACAACAGCCAGCCGTAGGGCCTGTCTCCAACATCCAAACCTGGGTTTGGCATCTCCATGGAGGAGCCCCGGGTAATCATGACTATGGAGGAACAAGAAAACAGCCTGTTGCTAAACACAGGTGCAAGTCTCTCGGTCCTTCTTTTCAATCCTGGCCTGCCTTCCAGCCGTCACACCTCAGTGACAGGAGTCACTGGTGAGGAGGTAATACGCTATTTTTGACAACCCTTAGGCTGTAACTGCTTGTTAGATCCTTTTTGCGTATGTCTGTCTTCCCGAGAAACCACTTTGAAGATACCACCATGTATTACAGCAGCCATTGATATTTTCCTACTAATCTGCCCATAACTCTGTAATGTGTGTATTGTTCCTATGCTATTTCGTAAATGGATGTATATTTATTATTATGTGTTTCCTACAACAACCATTGAGAATAGTTAATGATTATTCAATTGGTCACTCATGTCTAGCTCTATTTATTTTCTTTAGAAGCCACTTTGAAGATACCTAAGTATAGTACAACAACTATTGATAATCTCCTACCCCTTTTGTCTGTAACTCACTATTATTTGTTTTCCTGTGAAACTGTCTTATACATAACAATATGTAAAGCAATAACCATTGATAATTTCATACCATTTTGTCATTTGGTAAGCCCCCTCTATTACTATGTTATCCTTCTTTTACTCTTTAAAATTAAAAAAAAAAAACCAAACCTGGGTTTGAGTCTTGGGTCTTAGCCTCAGGATAGGAGATAGGGCCAGGACAGTGGACCTGAAACCAGAGAAATGGAAAGAGGTGAAGGAGAGAGTCGTTTTCCCCACACGTGCTAGCCAGCCTGGCTGAAGGAGAGGCTGCAGGGAAGAATAAGCAGACTGGAATCCAGGGCCTGGCACTCCGTGCATCTGCCAGAGCTCTGCTGGCCATGGCTGCTGCTGCAGTCGTGCTTCTGGCCAGCCAGAGGGCTGCTGGCGACCAACAGGGATTCCCTCAATAGTGCGGTGCCCATGTGTGAGCCTGCTGGTAGCCTTATCACAGCTACCCTGGGACTTTGAGGGGCTGTGTGCCTGCCCACTGCACAAAGCTATGGATATCCCCAAATCTAGTGTGCTCACTAGGAATTGCTGTTCCTGAAGGGAGTGTGTGCTGGGGCAGGAAGAAGACTGAGGACCCACATGTCTCTCCTGTCCCTGCTGCCTCCTCACTATCACTCTGGAAGCTACAGCAGAAGGGTTGCCATGAGCTCAAGACCAGATTGCACTACATAGGGAGAGCCTGCCTCAAAACACACAGGCACGCACGCACGCTGGGCTGGGTAAAATGGGCCCAGGGTGGAGCTTGTGCTGCTGGATTTCAGACAAGGTGCACTGCGGGGATCTGAAGAACACAGATCTGTCTTCAGAAATAAGAGGGTATAGGGACCTTCTGTTACTCACAGTAGATCCCAGGGAGTGCTCAGGCCCTCAGGAGGAACTGACCCTTACTTTTAGACCCAGTCACAGTGCACCAACTGGGGCTCACGTTATCCGAGAGCCAGGTCACAGTGGGTTGAAAATAGCCAGGCAGAGAAGTGGCTGGTCTCAAGGGGATGAATGCCCGGTGTACAAGCGACAGGTGACAGCATACACAGGCTCAGGAGGCTGGCTTGCCAGTGGTTGGTCACGTTTCATCCGTGGACAGTGCGTTGTTGATCTAGGTCATGTAAGCATGAGAATGCCAGTGAAAACATTGCCATAGCTGGTTTCCAGAAGTTTCCATGGAGAGTGTTCTGTTGGCACTCCTTGGAAGAGAGCTGCATGTTTCTGTGAGACAAATCCCTAGGAAGGAGAGGGAGCCCAATATTTATTCAGTGTAGCTGTGAATATAGCAGCTGGGTGAGAAAATCAATTCCAGGTGGACTTTGGACAGTCTTGTTGTTCTTTTCTGCCTGTAGCTCGTCTAGTAACGGAGGAAAAGCTCAGCTAAAAAAGTAAGCCTGTCTGTCTCTGATCCTGGCTGTCATTTGGGCATGTCGGGGTTAGTCACAACAGTATGCAAATCTCACTCTGGCTGGAGAATAGATCTTTAATGGAAACGGACTTAAAGGCAGATGCACCTGATGATTCTCCTGGGTTCTGTTCTACTTGGCTTTGCTTCATTCAGTAGGTGATGAATATTTCACTGTTTTAGAATGAGAAAGCTGGCACATGGTAGGCACTCAGTACATGCCTGCTGTTGGGGTCATTATCATCATTTCCAGATGGCGCCTGGCTACTCAATGCCAGCTGCTGGCTAGAACCTGTTGACAGTGCTAACAGTCTTCATGGGAAGTCTGCAAAACCCCATTATGAGTGGCCTAAAACAGTTAAGGTGATCCTGTGGTTTCTTTCCCTACCCTGTTAATATAGTGAATTACAGGGGCTGAGTTTTAAAATTTATTTTCAAATGTTAAATCAGCCTTGCCTTCCTGAGACCAACCCCACTTGGTCATGCCATATTTCTCTTATTACACTTCCAAGCTCAGTTTGCTCGTATATGGGTAAGGATTCGTGGGCTACTATTAATGGGAAAGCCCTTTAATGGACACAGAGCTACGCAGATCTGCTTTCTCTTCTGGAGTTGCTTTTGACTCTATGGCTGCTGTGCCTCTAGGCAGGAAGCTGGGGCAGTGACAGTGTTCCCGTCATTTAGTTCCCTTTCCTCAGTGCCACAGCCCTGTGTTGCCTGTTGCATCTGAAAACATTCACTTTGTATATTTTACCCAGCTTTCTAGTTGTTTCTGGCAAAAACAAAACAAAACAAAAAAAACGAGTCTGCCTCTGTTCTGCGTGATGCGAAATGGAAGACACAGAAACATTTTAGGCATTGAAGGGCACAGCACGCTGTGTTGCTTCTGGTTGTTTCTCAGCCAGATCGATCTGCTTTGACTTGGAACTGTGGATAAGTTTCACAGGGCTCAGCCTGCCTTTGAATCTTTGAGTAGATTCCAAATTGTAGTTTAGCTCTCATTCACAGAAACATAATATTACTTTGTTTTAGAAATTGGACTTTAAAACTAAAATTTGTTTTTCTCTCCATTTAAGTTTCCTTCAGCATTCGAGTTTAATGAACTGTTCTTGATTACAATTTTGGATCACCTTTATAGCTGTCTCTTTGGGACCTTTTTGTGCAACTGTGAACAAGAGCGATTCAAAGAGGTAAGGAGATTTGTTTCCCTGTGGCTCAGGCGCCTTGCCCAGTGAGGGCTTCTGTAGACAGAGGCCCAGGTGGAGGGAAGACCTGGCCTCTGCACCTGCTGCTCTCTGGACGTGGGGTGTGGGCACGGGATGCCCTCCCAGAATTCCAGCAGCCCCAGCACATAGGTCTTCCTAGGGCTGGGACCCGTGAGCCCACGGCTCTCTAGGGAGTAGGGTAGAACCCATGCTCCCATAAGCCCAGTGTGATGGACCCTGTTAACTTCTTAATGAAAAGGAAAAAAAGTAAATTTTGTGGTTTGAGAATTATATCTAAATAAAGGCACTTAGAATAAAACAAAAAAAGTGGAAGAACAAAGTTCATATATTAGAATTTAAACTATGTAGGAGGGAAGCTTAGAGAAGAGGAAGGGGGTAAGGGGTGAAAGGGAGAAGAGGTTGATGGAGGGACAGTCAAAGTATGTTACCTGCACATGTGAATCTGCCAGAGTGAAACCCAGTAGTCTGTGTAACTAGCAGGCACTGATAAAAACCTTTAAAAAAGAATTTAAATGGTGAGTTTATCTAGGTTTTTGAGGGGTACAAGATTTAATCTTCATCTAAAAAGTCAGCTCTCTCTGGGTGTGGTGGTGCATACTTGTAATCCCAACGCTTGGGAGCCTAAGGCAGGAGGATTGCTGTGAGATCAAGGCCAGCCTGTCTCGAAAGGAAAAAGAGAGAAGGAGAGAAAAAGAGCAAGAGAAAAAGTCAGCTGTCTTGAGATATAATTTACATACCGTGAAATTCAATCATCTGTCAGGTACAGGGACGCGTGCTTGTAGTCCCAGCTACTCAGGAGACCGAGATGGGAAGATTACTTGACCCCACAAGGTCAGGAGTAACCCAGGCAGTGTGGTGAGACCCCATCTTAAGATAAATAAAAATAAAATTCACTCATCTAAAGTGTACAATTTAGTGGTTTTAGGATATTCATAGATTTTGCTCCACCACCAATATCTGATTTCATAAAATTTTTATCACCCACAAAAGAAACTGCAGATCTATTATCAGTCCCTTTTTACTCCCCTTGGAGCCTGGCAAGCACTAATCTGCTTTCTGTCATTATGAGAGTGCCTAGTCTGGACGTTTCACATAAATGGAGTCGTATAATAATTGGACTCTTATGATGACTTCCTCCACTTAGCGCTCAGTGTTTGCAAGGTTCACTCCTTTTCATGGCTGAGCCGTACTCCATGGTGTGACTGGACCACATTTTGTTTCTCCATTCATTGGTTGGTAGAAATTTGAGTGGTTTCACTTTTTGGCTCCTAGGAACAATGCTGCTATAAATACTCCTGCCCAAGTCTTTGCGTGGATACCAGCTTTCATTTCTCTTGGGTGTAAACCTAGGAATAGGATTGCTGGGTCATACAGTAGCTCTACATTGGACCTTTTAAGGAAACGACCAGACTGCTTTCAAAAACAGCTGCAGCATTTTAAATTCATTCCCAACAGTGTTACAAGGGTTCCGGTTTCTCCATGGTTCACCAGCACCCATTTTCCTCTCTAAAAAACCATCCTAGTGGGTAGTATGCTATGGCTTCTTAAAGTATATCTTGAAAGAAACTTTTCAAAGGGAGGGAACAACTGGGATGAGGGAAAAGAGAAAAAGAAAGAAGGGAAAAAATATATATATATACACACACACACAGGATAACTGAGAGAGTCCTACTACTGACTTCTGTTGCTTTATTGAAAGGAACAGTTATGTTTAATTGTTTGATCAACTGTAAATGCCTATATTTGTTTAACTGAGTAACCAATTTGAAGATAACAATATGTACAATATTTAATACAATATCTATTGTTAATTTTCTATCACCTTGTCTGAAACTCTACATTGCTTCTATTGTTCGGGTGTTGTTTTATGTCTGTTCATTAATATATTTTCATTCTTTATCTTTAAAAGCTAAAAAAAATATATATATCTTACTAGTGCCTATGAATTTTACAGAATACTAGGTTGCACTGTGGTGTGCTCATACATGCATACAATACATGTTGGTCATAGCCGTCCATCCCCCCACTGCTAGCCTTTATAATCCCCTTTCCTCCCGGTTCCCTTCCCCTTGTCTAATAGTAATCTCCCTCTACCTTCCTGTCATCTTTGTTAGATCCCTCATATTAGGGGAAACTTGTGATTCCTATCCTGTAGCATCTGGCTTATTTCGCTTCACATGATGATCTCCAGTTCCATTCATTTTCCTGCAAATGACATAATTTCATTCTTATGGCTGAGTAAAACTCCATCGATAGTGTATGTACCACATGTGCTTTGTCCACTCATCTGTTGATGAGCACCCAGGCTGGTCCATGTCTTGCCATTGTGAACCGTGCCGCAGTGAGCGTGGCTATGCAGGTGTCCCCATGGAGTGCCCACCTTAATTCCTTTGGGGATATAGCAGGGACTGGTATAGCTGAGTCCCACCGTAGTTTTCTTTTTAGTTATTTGAGAAGCCTCCATATTGATTTCCAGAGGCTGTACTAATTTACATTCTTTTTTTTTTTTGGTTTTTCTCCGGTACCAGGAACCGAACTCACGACCTTGCGCTTGCCAGGCAGGCGCTTTGCCGCTGAGCTAAACCCCCAGCCCCTACATTCTTATAGTACTGGAAGAGGGATCCTTTTTTCCTGCATCCTCACCAGCATTTATTGTCTTTTGTATTCTTTTTTTTGGCGGGGCTGGGGGTACTGGGAATTGAACTCAGGACCTCATGCTTGCCAGGCTGTCTTTTGTATTCTTGATGGCAGCCATTCTACTCAGATGAGATGGAATCTCAGTATAGTTTTGATTTGCATTTCCTTAATGGCTAAAGATATTGAACATTTTTCATATACTTATTGACCAGCTATACTTCTTTTGATAAGTGTCTGCCCGGTTCATTTGCCCATTTACTGATTAGGTTATTTGATTTTTTGGTGGTAAGTTTCTTGAGTTCTTTACATATTGTAGACATTAATCCTCTGTCAGAAGAGTAGCTAGCCAAGGTTTCCCCCATTCTGTAGACTGCCTCGTCACTGTGTTAGTTGTTTCTCTTGCCATGCAGAAGCTTTTGAACTTGATGCAGTCCCATTTGTTGATTCTTGCTGTCTCCCATGCTGTTGGAATCCTTTCAGGGAGTGTGGCATTAAGTGTTTCTCCAATGTTATCTCCTAGCACTTTCAGAGTTGCCAGTCCTATGTAAGTCTTTGAATTGTGGGTGAGTGATAGAAAGCTACATATTTCAGTCTTCTCCATATGGACATCCGGTTTCCCCAGAGCCACTTGTTAGAGGCTGCCTTTTCGCCAGTGTATGTTTTTGGCTCCTTTGTCCACAATCAGATGACTGTAGTTGTGGGGGTTTGTGTATGCATCCTCTTTCTGTTCTTTGTGTATGCTTTTGTGCTTATAGAATTTTGTTTTGTTTTGCCATGGCTCTATAGTATAATTTGAAATCAGATATTGTGATGCCTCTAGCCTTGCTCTTTTTGCTTAGGATTGCTTTGGCTGTCCTGGATCTTTTGTGTTTCCACATAAATTTTAGGATTTTTTTTCTAGTTTGTTTTTTTCTTTTTGAGATGGGTTTCACTGTACAGTTCAGGCTGGGCTTGAACTCACTTTGTAACCCAGGCTGGCCTTGAACTTTCAGCGATCCTCCTGCCTCAGCCTCCCAAGTGCTGGAATTACGGGTGTGCACCATCGCCGGCCTTGTTCTAATTCTGTGAAGAATGCCATTGGTATTTTGATGTGGATTGCAGTGAATCTGCAGATTCTTTTTGGTAATATGGCCATTTTAATAATATTAATTCTGCCAATTCCTGAACCTGGGAGGTCTTCCCATCTTCTGATGTCTTCTTCATTTTGTTTTCTTCAGTGTCCTGGTATTTGCATTTTGTAGAGGTCTTTCACTGCTCTGGTTAGGTTGATCCCTATTCTATTTTTTTAAGTTGTTGTGAGTGGAATTGTTTTCTTTTTTTCTCAATTAATTTTATTGGTACACTTTTGATGTACATAATGATCACATTCATCAGAGGGGGTTTGTACTTGTACGTAATATAACTTGTTTCTTTTTTCCGCAACCCTCTCCCCTCCTTCAACCCTTCTTCCTCTCATTTACAAAAGCTTTGTCTCCATTTTTTTCCTTCTATTTTCTTTTTTGCTTTTCTCTTCCTCTCCCCTCCCTTGCTCCCCTTTCCATTTGAACATTTTCTTCCTATTTCTCAATATCTGTCATTCATTTTGGTCCTTATTTACTCTTTTGGTTTCTTACACAAGAGGAACAATGTGATATTTAATTATGTGCATGCAATTTATTTCACTTAAAAGTATGGTCTCAAGGTGTACCCATTTCCCTAAAAATGTCTCAGGTTTATCCTTCTTTATGGCAGAGTAGTACTCCATTGAATATAAACCCCACACTTTCTTTATCCATTCATCTGTTGATGGGCTTCTGGGCTGTGAATGGAACTGTTTTCTTGATTTCTCTTTCAGTGGGTTCATTATTGGTTTATAGGAAAGCTATTGATTGTTTTAAATGTTGATTTTGTATCCTGTGATGTGGTTTTGATTTACCTTTCCCTAATAATTAATGATCTTTTCCTGTGCTTATTAGCCATTTGTGTATCTTCTGTGGAGACATGTGTGTTCCAACCCTCCGCCCATTTTTAATTGGGTGATTTACCTTTTTATTATTAAGTTCTGGCAGTTCTGTACACTTTTTTATACATATCCTTTATAAGATGCGATCTACAAAATTTTCCCCCTCTGTAGGTTGTCTTCTCACTGTCTTGATTTCCTTTGAACCAAACTTTTTAATTTTGATGAAGCCCAGTCATCTGTTTTTGTTTCTCTCATTACTTCTGCTTTTACTGTCCTATCTAAGGTGCCATTGCTTAAGCCATGATCACAAAGATTTAATCCTATTTTCATTCTAAGAATGTGAGAGTGTTAGCATTTCCTTATAGGTCTTTGGCTGTCTTGGTTACTTTTCTCTCATTGCTGAGACAAAATACCCGATGCCCAGAATTAAAGAAGGAAAGGTTCACTTAGCTCACAGTCTGTGGAGGTTTCAGTCCATACTCGGCTGGCTCCAAGACAGAGTGGCATATGGCAGAGGGCAGCAGTTCATGGCAGTGAAAGATAGCAAAAGCAACAAGAGCAAAAGGGAGGAGCGGCAAAGAGCAAGCCTCTTTCCCTCCCTTACATTGTACACAAGCTATCGCCCCAGGGCAAGTATAGCATTCATGCCCATAATCCCAGCATTGGACCATGGATCAATCAAAAACTCTAGAAGCCTGCCCAGTGACTGCATGAGGCTTTGGCGGGGGGAGCATCTAGACACAAACCATACCAGTGACCCACTTTGAATTCATATATGTGTCTGATGGGAGGTATGAGTCCAGCTTCGTTGCTTTGTGTTGGTTAGCGGGTGTCCTGGCACTGCTGGCTGGAGAGACTTTTCCTGGTTGAACTGTCTCACCGCCCTTGTGAAAAATCAATAGACTGTAAATGCGGGAGTCTGTCGCTACTCTCTGTACTCGGTCCCATCCATCCCCACCATGTCTAGCCTATCCCAGCACTGCTGGTATTAATTATTGTAGTGCTATAGTAAACTTTGAAAACAGAAAGTGTGAGTCTTCTACTTTGTCCTCCCTTTTTTCAGGATTACCCTGACTATTGTGGATCCTTTGTGTTATTGGTGGTGTTTCACTTATAGATAAAATAGACAAAAAATGAAACGGTCCTAAGTGAGCGTCCCTGTGGGAAGCAGGCAGCGTGTGGGTGGCAGAAGGCTGGAGGAGTCCCCTGGCCTGGCCGCCTCTTCCTTAGGCTTCGCGCTGCTTACTGTCTGTTTACCCGCCCCACCCTGCCACAGGTGCGGATGTTCCCAGTCGGAGGAGCAAAGCAAGGGCACCACACTGCAAACGGGGTGCTGTCCATCGCGGGGAAACAGTACTCCTCTAGAGGAAGCTTTTCTCGCTTGCCACCACGCTATGTCTTTCTGCACATAGCCGTGATTGTTCACTGCAAGGGATCTTAGTTGGAAATTCTATCCACACTTCTCAGTGTGAAGAACCACAAAGCAAACCTGAAGCCAAATTTGTGCCTGTCACTGGTGAGCCCTGGCGTCCTGGGCTTGGTGGAGATCTCATTCCGCCCTCCCACAGACACAGTGGCCGGACAACGCTGCACTGAGCGGTATTTTCCCGGGACCATCCCCAGCAGGCCACGCGTACTGGGAGGCCAGGGAGAGCTTGGTAAATGCGCCCTGTTTCTCAGCACGTGGGTGACTGCAGTGTTCAAGTAATTTCCTCTCTGTAACACTCATCTATGGGGATATGAAGAAAGGAGAACTTTATTTCATTGCATTCCTTTTTGTTTTTCAGGATATACATTCAAAGACCGTGTCTTTATGGTCCTATATCAATAGCCAGCTTGATGAGTTTTCTAACCCCTTCTTTGTGAACTACGAAAACCACGTCCTGTATCCTGTTGCTAGTCTGAGTCATCTGGAGTTATGGGTAAATTATTACGTCCGATGGAACCCACGGATGAGGCCACAGGTACCTTTTCGCTGTCTTCTTTCCCTGCGAGCGGCTCTCTCTTTCCAAGCAAGGGCAGTGTTGTAGACGCGTGCAGGTGCACCTACTGACAGGGCGGCCACGTCTGCCTGGGGAGTGGTGGAGGGTGGGGACAGACAGACAGCCCGTGCTGCCGCAGAGCAGGCGCCCCTCGGGGAAGGGCTTGGCCTGGCCCTGCTGTACCACTTCGTGCTGCCTTTTTCTAGATCGTCCAAACCGAGAGAGTGGCGCACAGCAGGGCCGGTCAGCCAGCCCGCACCCACCCTCTGGCCTCAGACACCATACTTGCGCTTCCTGCAGTGCTCCCGGTCTTCTCTGAACAGAGGTTTGACTTGGCCCTGCTCCCCACCCGTCTCTTGCGTGTGGGTGTGAGAAGACACACGCGGGCGGCCCTCAGCGCCCTGGCCAGTGTAACACTCTCGAGCTTCACCAGGCTGTCACTGTCAGTGTGTAACATCGCTGCTTCCGCCAGCCAAGGCGCCGGAACTACCTTTCCTCTGCGCCCTCCTTCTTCCCTCTCTGCCCCCTCACCTGGGGCCTTCACTTCTCAATTCAGCCCCAGCCCGCCAATCTGGATGTCCAGGTTGCTCCGTTTCCCTCTTGGTGGCCAGCACCGAGCTCCACAGTGTGTGGTTCTTTCCCTAACCCTCCCTCAGGCTGGGAAGGGCCCGCATCTGTGGACGTCCTGTGACCCGTGCGCCGTGCTGCCCCAGCAGCCATCTCCCAGATCGTTCCGTGTGCTTCGCCCGGCCCCATGCCCAAGTGCAGCCCGTCCGCGGCACATGTCCCGCACTGCTCGCTCACTGCCCTGCGGTTGTCTCTGTGTTCCTCTGGCCCCTCCCAGTTGGCCCTGCCTCCCCTGGGACCCCAAGTGTTCCCTGAGCCAGGCCTTTCACCCCCTGCTGCCTGCACCTCTGTCCCCTCTCCTGCTGCCAGGCACAGGTGGCTTGTGAAGGCCTTGCAGAAGTGGAGGTGCCTGGTGGTCTGCTGTCCTCTCCCCTCTTCTGGGCTGCTTTGTCCAGCAGGCTTCCTTCTGGTCAGCCAGCAGAGCGCTGCAGCAGCTCCCTCCTCTCGCCTCGGCTGGCTCCTTCTCCGCAGCCTCTGCTTCACATCTGAGCAGCAGGGATGATGGGCTGTAGCGTGTCAGAATGTCATGATTTTACTGATGTCATGTAGCGTTACTAAGTGGTCTTGGGGGCCCAGGACAGAAAGTGGGGGAACCTTGGAAGATTAACAGAAAGCCAGCTGGACTGCTCTGGACTGGGCACCTTTGCTTAGATGAGGCTTCCCAGTACTGCGGAACCACACCCTGCCCCATGCCAGACTTGACGAATGTAATGGCAGGCTGCCCTGTCCTTCCTTCCCCTGCTGCTTCCCTCTGTTGGTGCTGGGTGGGAGTCCTCGGGCGTGCAGGATGGGTGGCCCTGAACTTGCTGCGTCCTCTGAGGACTGCGAGTGTGAAGCAAGGCCATCCAGGGTGCCGGTACCGTGCTAGGAGGGTGGCACTTCCTACGTGGTGTACACAGAAGGGCCCCACTTGCAGCAAGCATGCATTGGCCAGCTCCTAGGTGCAGGGCCCATAGAGTTGGCCGGAGAGTGCTGGGACTTGGTGGTGGGGTGCGCTGGAGAGGCAGGTGGCACAGGGAAGGGGCCACGGGGGCAGGGCTGGCTGGCGGGGCTGCGGCGAGCCGGGGCTGAGAAGCAAGTCGCAGGAGGAAAGGCCCCGTCCTTCCGAACAGGCGGGGGCAGCATGAGCCACTGCGAGGCCCCCTCAGCACCCACCTGAGCGCGGCCACACAGCGTCCTGCCTTCGGGCCTCCTGCCTCATGGCTCGCACACAGCACCCAAGGGGTGGCGTGACCAGCCTGTCCCTGGGATTTTCTCAAATGCAGCCCTTGTTGAGCCTCAGGGTTTTCTATCCCTTCTGGCAGGCCTTTGCGTAGTTGTAGAGGAAGCTGATCTACAGAAAAACAGAAAAAGCCCTGCGGCAGCGGCAGGGGGAAGCAGTGTGCTTGTGCAGCCCTGGCCCGCAGGCCTGAGATTGTGCCTGTGCTGCTCCTCTAGGCCGCGCATTCACGTTGGCCATCGTGATGGGTGCAAAGCCTTCCCTCCTCTGGGGCCAGATGATCCTGGAGACTGGGATCCACCGAGCAGACAGGGCCTAGGCTAGAGGGGAGCTGCTGCTGGCTCTCAGCCCCCGGGATCAACGTTTGTTCCAAGCCCTGCTGCTGCTGTGCCCGCCCTTCTTCCTGTGGCCCCTCCAGGCTTGTCTCCCCACACCTGCACCATCCCTCTCCTGCCTCCAGGAGGGGAGGGCTGCAGGACCTGGAGAGCAGAGTGGGGCTGCAGGCAGGGTATGACTCTCAGGCTAAGGCTGGAGGGTGTCACAGCGAGTCACACAGTCTGGCTCTAAGATGTACAGGGGGATAGAGGGGGCTCCCCAGATCCTACCCCCAGACCCCACCCTGGGCCTCTGTCATTCTCTGCCTGGCACCCCGGGCCACCCTTTGATAGCAGGCGCCCAGACATGTTGGCAGCCCCGTAGCTCATGGGCCCCCGCAGTGGGTGGGCGAGAGCGGCACGCGGGGGTGGCGCAGCAGCGAGGCTGAGTGGGGAGGGGCGTGGGGTCCTCCCTGCACTGCGCACCGGGGCCTCTGCCCCACCCGGCCCGACTGACGAGCAGAGGCAACTCCGGGTCGGAGACTGCTCCTTTGCTGGGGCTCTTCACTCGGTGGAGCGGCTTAGGAGGCCGCATGAGTAGCGCAGCACTCACGGGGCTGGGGATACTGGCGAGTGTGCCTGGGGAGCAGCCTGGAGCTGGCCACTGGCCATCCCGAGGGTCCGCAGAGGACGGCTCGGGCCTGAGGTCCTGAGTTTGCCCCGGGAGCCGGGGAGGAGCCACAGAGCAGTCGGTGGCAGCTGGAGCTCCCAGCTTGCAGGGGTTATTGCTGTACGCTGGGTGGGAGAGGCCGGAGGCCCAGGAGACTGGGCAGCATGGGCCTCCAAGCAGAGCCAGGGGCCTGGGTGCTAAAATGCCGTGTTAGGAGCAAGGAGCGCCCCCGGGACGGCTGCTAACTCGGCCCCATCTCTGTCCCCGCAGACGCCAATCCACCAGAATCTCAAGGAGCTGCTGGCTGTCAGGGCTGAGCTGCAGAAGCGCGTGGAGGACCTGCAGCGGGAGGTGGCCACGCGCGCTGTCTCGTCGTCCTCTGAGCGGGGCTCCTCGCCATCACACTCGGCTACTCCAGTCCATACCTCGGTCTGAGGGTGAGCCACCGACGCGGGCCACCCCACCACTCCGCGTCTCCCTGGGAGCTCAGGGCCTGGCTGTGGCAAGGTTACGGCGAGGCCTCTGGGGACCCAGGCACTGTCTTCTGGGACAGGAGGTCCAGGGACCATCCTCGGGGCTAGGTGACAGCCCCCACTGTGGCCAAGTGCTTTCTGTCTCGTGAACAGCCCAGGACCCCGCCAGCGGCCAGGCCCATCCCGTGACCCACCCTCCTCTGTCTCAGGCTTCAGGACATCTCGTGCCCTTGCCGTCCACGGTCACCCTCTGTCAGAAACAAACCTTGCCAGCTGTGGGAGTGCTCTCAGCACCCTGCCACGGCTTGAAGACTGATCTTAAGTGAAATGTCTGGAGAGAATCGCACCATCGGCCTCCGGTCTCCAGTTCCCACTGTGTATATAGAAGGTATTTTTTAAAGAGAGAAACAGGCCTTTATTTTCCTATGTCCTTTTTAATGTTTAGAATAATTGCCAGCAGAGGTGTCTGCTTCCTCTTCCGTGGGAGGAAGTCTTTCTGCTCGCCCTGCTGACTTCTGTGGTACGTATGAAATGAGACTTTAGACACGGTCACCTGGGTGGCAGCCTCTCCCTGTCCTCAGCCTAGCTCCGGTACTTGCCTCCTGAGGCGGCCCTGTCCATTGGTAGGCATGCTCAGTGCTGGCAGCTTTGCGCAGGCGCCCGTCCCGTGCCTGGGCAGAATGGTGTTTCCCATTCATCACAGGCCCCTCACCCTGGGTTGCCGAGTGACCGCCCATCCCTGTCTTAAAGCGGCTGTGCACCATGGCGGCGGGAGAGGCCAGTGCGCACCCCTCCTCGAGCCCAGCCTGGCTGGCCTCGCCCCACAGTTCCGGGTTCTGCACCACCATGGGGGTGAAGTCATCATGTGCTCTAGGCCTGTCTCTGCAGGTCACCGGGATGCCACCACAGCACAGCACAAGGTCAGCTGCCTCAGAAGCTCACAGGTCCCCTGGGACAGGTGCATTGACGTCACTGCCTCAGGCCCGATCAGGCTCCAGACGCACACATAGTCCTACACATTATTTTTGAAAATAGATTGTTCAGAAGTTTTCTACGGTCATATACATAGGGATTAGATGTTATTTCAACTTGGAACCTTCTGATTCATACAGAAAATTTTCCTTCTGTAAACTACCAGAAATATTTATTCATGGTCACTTGGCAATTCCTAAAACCAATTGTTCATTTTTGTCACGTGAGGATCTGTCCGTGCGGCACACTGCAATGGATATTAACTACTGAGTTAGGCTCCCTGCCCAGCCCAAAGCTCACTTATGAATGGGTAGGCTGTTAGTGCTACACGGATTTTTTTCGTGGAGACGTTCCCCAGTCTTTCCCCACAGACACCACGTAGTCCGCCAGCTGCGCTGGGACAGTTCCGTGCGGTGCGGATGGGGTGATGGCGCACAGACCCCCGAGGCCCAGGGTCACTCTCCGGCGAGGTCGGCCCTGCCGCATGGCCCTGCCAACTCTCACTTAAAGAAGCACAAGAGCGCGCTGCCCTTGGTCTGTTCCTCACACAGAACTGTGTCCGGCGCCACTCGAAGGCTGGTTTGGTATCTGAGCCCTGCTCTTTTGTTCAAGTGTACTGGAATGTAAAACCTTGGGTTTTTAAAGCTGGCACAATGCTGTATTTCATCTGATGCGCTGTCTTTGCACCTGTAATTAAAATGACAGCGTGTGCTCCCTAGCCTTCTGGTTGTCGCGCTCTTCCAAGTGTCCACATGGTTTTCTTTGCGGGGAATGAATAATGACACGGTGACACGGCCACGGCTCCCGTGCAGTGCCTTGCGTGACTTCATTTGTTAGATCTCACATGCCATTTGTCACCAGTGCAGAGTGTTGTGGCTGGAACGGGTGAGTGCTGATATTTGCAAACCTAAAGGCCTGGCCTGTCACCCTGAGGAAATGCCAGGGACCCTGGAAAGCACAGCCCTCGAGGCATGGCAGCAGGCCCTCTGAGGCTGTGGGGTGCCACACTGTTTCAGGGCTGACCCCCGCCCTGTGGGCCACCCTTCTCACGTGGGCCTGGGGTCCCTGACCCTCTCCCTGTGACTTGGCTGCAAGCAGCAGGGCCCACTGTGAGGCGCGGGAGTGGGAGGCAGGACTCCTGGGCCGTCACCGCCCTTGCTGTGAAGTCGCTGTGGGCACCACCCCAGGCCACACAGCGGGCGAGCCCAGCAGGCTGACAGGGCCAGGGTCTCAGTGGCATACCGACTCCATCCCGAAGAGCAACAGGCGCAGGTGCCTGAACAGCGACCTGGCCACCCCCTCCCAGCCTAGGGTCCCAAGCAAGCCCCTGCCCAACAGGGTCGCCCTGCCCCCAGGGCCCTGCTCCCGAGCTCCTGGGCCCCTCTGGCGGGAGGTGAGCTACGCACCCAAAGCTGCTTCGGGAGGGGAGGTGCCCGCCCCATGGACCACAGGAGTCCGGTTAGGTTCCGTTTCGTTTAATGCAGACACGACAGTTCACAGTTCACATGTGGACATAGCACAGATGAGGGTGGACAGGGTCAGAGGTCAGTCCAGCACGTCTTCCTGGCAGAGCTGGGCCTGCCCGCACCCAAGGGTGCTTCCCCATCAGGCGCCGTCCTCGGCCCTCGTGCAGCCAAAGCTGCCGGTGTCCCCTGTGCTGGTGGCTGGCAGAGAGAGGCCCTTCCGGCTGGCCCTCCTGGTGCCGGCCCTCTCGTCTCACCTAGGACAGGCCCACGCCAGCCAAGGAAGCTTCAGGTAGACACAGGTAGGAGAGGAGCCTGCCAGGCTTGTGTCAGCCACAGTGCCCGAGCAAGGGTAAGGTGACAGCGGAAGGGGAGCCCCTGGGATGAGACTGCGAACCGGAGGCTGAGGGGCGGCCCGGGCCTGTCCAGGTGCTTGGAGCCAGCGCCCGTGGGCCAAGTGATGGGTTTTATGCAGAAGGGCTTTATGCAGAAGGCACCGAGGTAGCTAAAGAAGAAAAAAGTGGGCTGTTTTTCACTGAAGTCAGTGCTACCCAGAAAACGTTTTTGCGAAGAGCATTTATTTTACACACGGCTGCGGGCTTCCAAGGCCTCTGCCAGTGGACAAGCCTCACTGGAAGTGCGGCGGCCCTGCCCCTGCTATCTAGGTGCCACGAGGCCCGAGCTGCAGAACCCTCCACATCCATCTCCAGGCCAGCCGCCTTGCGCCCTCGGTGTTGGGACACAGAGTTGACCACGCAGACCACCACCTGGCCCACAGGCTGGGAGGCCCGAGGACCAGGCCAGTCCCTGCAAGCAGGGCCTCCGGCGCTGCGCAGCTCCTGGAAGATGGGGCTTTGGGGCCGCATGTCCCTTCCTCACGGCACCGCAGCCCCTCCTGGCCCGCAGTCTGGGGTCATTCCCCCGAGAGACAGTAGCACCCCGACGGCCTCCACCGCGGGGGCTTGAAAATCACGAACACATACACACACACACACTAGGCATGCAGTACACAGCACGTGGGGGCTGTTTGGATTTCATTGGTTTTCCTTTAAAAAAAATGGGAGTTGCCTCATCCCAGCACGAGGGGGATAGGAAGGAGTCACCGGCCTGTGGTGGGGTGGGGCCGTGGGGCAGCCTGGGGCGGCCGTGAGCACGGACACATCCCGAGCTCCCAAGCGCTGCTTGACACTAGAAACTGACACTGGCACACACGGGCTCCTCTGAAGCCAGCTCTGCTCCGGCCCAAACTGGGTGGCACCCAGCCATTTTGGGGCCAGCCCTACGTGCCCAGCCCGCTTCAACAGGACTGGAGGAAGGCCACAGGTCCACACCCAGGCCAGCGCCAGCACAGCCCCTAGCAACAGGAAACCTGGAATTGGGGAGCAAGCCCGCAAGGAAACCCGCCCCGGGCACGCCATGGGCGTGGGGCCATCGGGTCGTTCGCTGCAGGAGTCCCAGCGAGGCGGTGCCCAGCTCCCCTGACGGCACTCAGAGCCAGTCCGGCGAGCAGGGGGACCGCACGGCCCTGGGCTCACATCGTGCCTAGGGTAGTGGAGCCGTCCTTCGGCACTGTGCCCGCGTTGTGCCCACCCCCATCTCGTCTCTGTCCCCGGGCTAAGGCCGGGTGAGCTGGCTCCAGCTGCCGGGCCGGGTCACGCTGGCACCGAGTCTCTTCACAGGACCGCGCAGGAGGGACACGGCGCCCTGCACAGCGGGCACGGGGACCACACTCAAGCACACGAAGCTTGTCTGGAAACTCAGAGCGACGAGAAGCCAGTGACACAGGGAGCGCAGCACAGTGGCTGAGGGGCCGTGGGAAGTGGAGCCGGGTCACAAGCGGTGGCGCCCTCCGTGCCCGCTGCCCCGCGAGCCTGGAGCTCAGATGCGGGGAGCCTCGGGCGGCCGCGGCTCCGCAGCCTGCGTCTGCAGCGCCGAGTACTCTACTGCGGGAGAGAGGACAGCAGTTCGTTCGCGGAGGGGCCCGGCCCGGCTGGCCTGGACCTGGTATGTCCCCAGCAGCCAGGTCAGGGCCGCGGGGTGGGGGGCCTAGGGGGAGGAGAAGGCAGACAGCGGGCTCTGCGCCCTCCTCACCCGGAAACCAGGGACCTCCTGCAGCGCCCAAACAGCCCGGTAAAGACTGAGCTGCATTTCCGATGGCCAGAGATGCTGAACATTGGCCACTTGGTATCTGACTGGGGGGCCATTCTAATGTTTTAGAGTCTTTATACATTCTAGATACTACTCCTCTGTCTGGGGCGTAGCTGGCAAAATCTTTTTCTCACTCTGTAGCCTGTCTGCTCACTCTGACAGGTGTCTCTTTCGCCGTGCAGGTTTGCAATTTGATTTCAACCCATGTGTTGATTCTTGGTATCGTTTTTGTGTGTGTGCGCACCCAGGGGTCCTGCTTCAAACCCTGCCTATGCCTGTGTCTTCAAGTGCTTGCCTGTTCTGGCTTGCAGCCGACTGTTTCTGACACTGAGTTGTTCGATGCACTTGGATTTTCCATTAGCATGTGGTGAGAGATGCGGCTCTAGCTGTGCACGCTTCTGCACGTGGAGAGCCAGTTTTCCCGGCACCCTTTGCTCAAGAGGCTACCTTTCCTGCAGTGTGCGCTTTGGGCCCATTCGTCAAAAACTCCAGCTAGCTGAAACGCCTGTGCCACTGAGCGCTGTGTCCCGTGCCTGCCCTGTGCAGTGTCGTCACTGTGGCTCTGTAGAATGACTTCAACCCCGGGACTGGAAACTCGGGGAGACCGGCCGGGGGAGGGCAGCCGGGGGAGGGGGCGGGGTCAGAACGATGGAGGTGCAGTGTAGCCAAGGCCCTAAGGCATGCCAACAATACACGTTAAGTGTTAGTCGCTGGCCCAGTGAACGTGGCTGCGGTGGACCTGGAGCTGCTTTCGGCCGTTCCTGGCAGGACCGCCAGCTGCCTGTTCTGAGCGGGGCACGCGGACCCAGTGCCCCACCTCCCAGCACAGGGCGCCAAGCCCCATGGCAACAGCTGCTGCCTGTAACTGGCCGCTGTGGGTGCCACCCCGCCCCTTGCTGTATTCCCTTCCTCTTGTCTGGTAACAGTCTCCCCTCTGCTTTCTCCTCATATTGGGAAGAACATGCACTACCGCTCTTTCTGAGTCTGGCTTATTTTCCTCAACATGAAGATCTCCCAATCCATCCTTTTCCCTGCACCGGACAGGCTTTCACTCTTCTTCATGGCTGAGTAGTACTCCATGGTGTGTGTAAACCAGCCTCCTTACCCAGTCAGCAGTGCCGAGCACCTAGACTGGCTCTGTGTCTTGGCTATGGTGAAGTGTGTACAGATCTGCCAGAGACACCCATGCACCTGTGCAGACAGTACGCACCACTGAGAAATGCAGGAAGGAGTAAAACGGAGCAGTGAGGGAGGAAGAAGGGCAAGAGGCCAAAGTAGCATTCTCTGCCGAAGGTACCGGCAAGTGCCCACTGCTGCCCGGGGCGGGGGGTGCCCATGCTCGGGCCCAGATGGCCACAGGCAGAGGCTAGGCCGCACCAGAGCCCCTAGTTCCTCCCACCTCCCCGGGGGCCCAGAGCCGGACTGGCCGCCAATCCTCACCTTGCGGCTCCTCGCACACCACAGCCTCCAGGTTCTGCCCCCGTGAGTAGTCTGCGTTGAGCCCCTCTGCAAGGGCAAGGGCACGGTCAGTGGCGGGCACAGGCCTGGCAAATGTTCTCACCCAACCCCTGTTCCCGGCCCGCCTGGGGTCCCTGCTTGCAGTCAGGCTGTCCTGGCACTGCCCTGCCCAGGGGGTCGCGCCACTGTCACTGGAGGTAACAATGCATGCATCAAGGGGGCTGTCACCCCCGCCCAGTGGAGCAGCCGGGCCGTGTCAAGATGGCGGCTCCCCCAGCAGATGGGCCACTGGGCACCCGTGGCACAGGGTTGGGAGGGCAGGGAGTGACCGTGGAAACAGGCAGGGCGGGGCAGATGGCCATGGAGTCACCGCGGAAACGCCAGCATCCTCTGGGCTGGGTGGTCTGCCCAGCAGCACAGCACGGACCCAGGTGGTTCTCCCGCTGGCATGGGCCGCCGCCGTGCCCAGCCGGGCTCTTGGGGCAAGCTACAGCCGCTCAGGTCTGGCGGTTAGCAAGCGTGAAGTGTGCCTCGCTGGGCGCCCTCCTTCCCACACCCACCAAGGGACCTGGAGTGGCCCGGCCCTGCGGCTGCTCCAGGAGGGCGCGAGCTGTCTCTGGGCCCTGGGTGGCCCTGGCTCCGAGGGAGCCACAGGCCCCGTGTGTGCCCGCACAGTTACTCTGCCGTCCCGGCCCCAGGGCCCTGCCTGCCGCGCTAGCTGCTGGCCAGGAAGGGAGCCAGTGGCCGCCCTAGGGCCTGGTGCGGCTAGAAGGGGCCTGGCGGGCGGCACTGCAGCGCCTGGCGCCCGCGCTCCTGGGAGCCCACGCCTCAGGGCCCCAGCTCTGCCTCTCTGGGCCCGGCACGGAGAGTGTGGCGGGAAGGCTCGGGATGGTCACGGGCACAGCCAGGATGAGAGTGCGGGGGGGCGGGGGGGAAGATGACGAAGCGCGGGGATGGGGTGGAGATGCGGCGTCTGAGGCCAGACAGGGAACCCGCGGGAGAGGCGCGGCGCGCGTTACCTTGACCTTCTGCTGCGTCTGAAGGCAAGACACTGAGCTTAGAACCCCAGGGCACTCGGCTGGCGACAGCGCTTGCGGGCTTGGCCAGCGCGCTGACCCCTGGCACCGAGGGCAGACGGGGAGCTGAGGGCCCCCAGTGTGTCGGCCCCTTGGCGGCAGCAGAGGCCGCGGGCACCTGGGGGTCACGGGGGGGGCAGGTCCACCCCCTCCATCCCTATGGCCCTCCCCGACCTGCATGCACCGGCGCGGGAACTGGGGATCGGGCTGTCCACACGTCTTCCCGGGCCAGCCACCCACAGACGCCCCGGGGACCCTCTGAGTCCCGGCCCGAACTAGGAGCCTGGGACGCGGGACGCGAGTAGACACTGTCCCCCAAGCCATGGCCCAGCTGCAAGAGTCCAGGGTTGGGGTGCGGCGCAGGGCCGCGCCGCGGGTGGCAGGGGGCGCTGTGGCTGCGCGCAGAAGCTGACGGAAGCCTGCCGAAGGGGCGGGGCACTGAGGACGGACGGGGTGGGGGGAGCGAGGGGGGGAGCGAGGGGAGGAGCGGGGAGGGCAGGGGGTGGTCCCAGGGCCGTGGAGGAAGGGGACCTCGGCGGGCTGTGGGTGCCAGGCTCCGGGTCTGCACCACGACCGCGAGGGCAGCAGGGACATGGGGCAGGCGCCCTGGTGGGGGGAGGTGAAGTGCGGGACAGAAGGGGGAGGGGAGGGGACGGGAAAAGCGGGGCTGGCGGGGGCGTGGCTGAAGAGGTGACCACAGGGATGGGGGGAGAGAAGGGCACAGGGTTCCTAGGAGCTCGCTGCCCGCCCTGCCACCCGCGCACCCCGCCACCTGTTTGCTGCGGGAGGGGCAGAAGCAGCCAGCCTGTCCCTAGTCCTCTCGCCCGCGGGTCAGTGGGGCGTTCGCTGCCCGCGGCCATCCGCAGCTCAGGCCGTGGTTGTCACGGGATTTGGGCAAGGCAGGGACGGAGCTGAGGGCCCTGTCTGTCCACCTGGCGTCCCTTTGGCCACCCGCCACCCCGGCCCTGCAAGACCGCGGCACCAGGAGCCCAGCATAGACCGCGCTTGTGGCTGCAGTAGGCCTTAGCCCCGTCACTTCCTCTCCACGGCCACCCACTCCGCCCTCCTGTGGGGCCCGGCCCATGCTCCACCACGCAGGGCCGAGGCACGACTGAGACGTGGGGGCTCGGTTCTCAGGCGTGGATGTGGCTCGGTCCGGCTGTGGGGCACGGGGTCTGCGCCACCTGGCCTCAGGGACCGGAAGCCGCTCGCCCCTCTGGGTCATGAAGATGGCAGAGGCCGCAGCAACGCGGCCACCCAGAGCCACTGAAGCCAAAAGGCCAAGGCAGGCAGCTCCCCAAGAGTGCTGGGGGGACGGATGGTGGCCCTGGGGACTCCTTGGCAGCAGATGGCTGGCCTGCAGAACCTCGGGACTGAGGTGTTTCTTTCACGTGGCAGCTACAGGAACTGGGACAAGGAGCGTGGGAACAAGTGTGCGTCAGGCCACCCCGCAGGCACTAGAAAGGGGGCGCTTTCCGGCTGGCCAACACCGCGGGAGGGTACGGCCAGCGAAGCAAGGGCACAGAGGCGCCCCGGGCAGGGAGAGGACCCTGCGGGGGACCGCTGGCAACCCGCTCTGTTTGCCAAGTGGCACTTGAGTCACCCATCAGTTGGTCATCCAGATGTGGTGGTGTTCTCTGGGTAACCACCACCTTCGTCCCGGAGCCCAGGACTGGGGACCCAGAGGCTCATCTGAACGCCCGCTTCCGCTCTCCCCTCCCCCTCCTCAGGTCAGCAGAGGCAGGCTGCTCTCCCAGGCAGCCTTGGCCAGGCCGGCTGCCCTCCCTCAGGCAGGTGGCAGCAGCGGAGGCGTGGTGAGAGCACCCTGCCTCTGGGAAGTCGGGGGGGGGGGGGGGTGACTGGAGGGTCGCCCGGAGGGCCGCCCCCTGGGACAGAGGGCTGGGTAGGGCGGTGCCTCCTTTTCTTCGGCAGCAGAAAGGAAGAGGCAGGAGTCGGGCTGTGACCCTCCCTCCTGTGCTGCCCAATGTACGTCTGGCCCTGCCCCACCCCCACGCAGGGTTTGGCCACCAACTGGAGGGACAGTGTGGGGGGAGCACTCAGAGCCGTGCAGCTACAGCCTTGACCCTTGGGGGGCCCAACACCCCACAGCCCGGCTTCCAGTGGGGTGAGCAGGCAGATGCCAGCGGCACCACCTGTCCCCACTCCGGCCAGGCTGTCCCACAGGAGCACAACCTGCAGCCACCCCCCGCCACACCCTGGCCTGCCCCGGGGCAGAGGGGAAGAGGGAGAACCCAGCACCTGCCAGCCTTGCGCTGGGATGCCCCTCAGGCTCGGCCAGTGTGACACATCAGCACAAGAGCCAAAGCCCCTACTGTGGGGCTCTGAGACAGGGAGCTCCCCGCTTTTCATTCGCTTTTTGAGTCAAGGTCTCCCTGTGCTGCCCTTAAGCTAACTATGTAGCCCGGGCTGGCCTTGAGCTCACAGTGACCTCCTGCCTCAGCCTCCCTAGCAAGCACTGGGATGACAGGTGTGGGACCCCACAGCCGGCTTTGCCTCTACAATTATACAACTTCCCCACAACTTTGGTGCTTTCTCCGGCTACAGCCTACAGCCCAGCACGTAATAGGTGGGGCAAGAGGCAGCCCTAGTCTGCTCCCGCCTTCCTGCTCCTTATCCAGCCCCCGACACCCCAGGGTTTAAAGCGTACGCGCCAGGGGGAGTGGAGGCCCCCTGCTCTCGGGCCCAGAAGGGTGGGTGTTGCAGAGCTGTGAGCCTGGCTCTTGGGACAGTGCTCAGCAAGACAAGGAGTGAGATCAGAGGCCACAGGGACACCCCACTGGTCACCGCACCCTGTCCTCTTAGGCCTCTGGGGGCCGGGTCCCGGGAAGGTCGGGGGCTCTTGCCCAGGGGTGCCCGCTGCCCTGCCCACCCTCCGGCACTCACGCTGGATGCTGAAGCAGAACTTCTTCTGCTGGTAGGAGATGTAGCTCGACACGGCCCCGATGAGCGCCATGGCCAGGGCGCTGGCCACGCCGGCGATGGTGCCAGTCTCCGCAGACATGCCTGGGCACGGGGGGGGGTGCGGGTTCAGGCCTGGGGCCCAGGCTGCTTGGGAGTCTGCCTCCCCCAGCCCACAACCCAGGTGCACAGGACAGGCGACGAGGCTCCGGGTACCCATGGCAGTGACACCATGCCCCTCGGGTTGCCAAGTGCTTCCAGTCTCCGGGAGAGACTTCCTCTTTGAGAAGCACAGAAGGCAGACACACGACGGTGCCAGCCCCTCTGGGACCGAGGGGCCCTGTGGCCTCTGCTCCTGGCCTCAGGACTGTGGAAAGTACGTTTCTCCCAACAGCAACCTCGCTCTGCAGACACCCACCAGATCCGGGGTCGTCGCTGCTGCCATAGCCACCATCACCTGGAGGGGAACAGAAGCACTTAGTGTCCGCTGCGACCCCGGCCCAGCCAGTTCAGGGCCTGGCAAAGCACATGTCAGCAGGCTTCTGCTGGGCTGTAGCAAGGCCAGCTTTCATTTGTTTTTTGAGACAGGGTCTCACTGTGCAGTTCAGGCTGGCCATGAACTCACTACGTAGCCCAGGACGGCCTCGAACTCACAGAGGCCCATCCTGCCTCAGCCTCCCGAGTGCTGGGATGACAGGTGCATGCCACCACACTGGGCTACAGGGCCTGCTTTCTTGTGCCTCCTGCCAGCGTGGGGGTGCTCGCTGGTGGGCCACAGGGAACGTTCTTGTGCAGCTCTGGTAGGAGGATCACCGGCTCAAGTCCAGCATGGGCAACTCAGCAAGACCCTGGCTCAAAAGCTGAACAAGTTCTGGAGATGTAGCTCAGCGTGAAGGCCTCCGGTTCAGTCCCCAGCACTGCCCTCCCCCCGCACACGCGCAGTAGTCTGGGAGGAGAAAATGAGGTTTGTCTTGTTCCCACTTGGGGCTGAGTCCTTGACTTCCAAGCACTGGCAAAGCTCTCTGTGCACCAGCATTTTTAGCAAGCGCAGCCACCGCTGCTGGAGAAAGCAGAGCCTGAAGGGGACTTTGACACTCGGCAGCAGGTCACCGCACCTGCTGTCAGGGCAGGGGCGCTCCGCCTCCCCTCTGCCAAGGTTTTGTCACCAGATTTCCGGGCGTGGGCTCTGTCTGAGTGACCCAAGCTCTGCTTTCTTTAAGCTCCAGGCAGCAGGCAGCTGGGTGTCCTCAGGTCTCCGCCCTGGGACAGCAGGGCAGCGGGCTGGCATCCTCCAGCGCGTGGGCGAGCGGTCCTGCGTGTGAGAAAGCCAGGCTCCGGCGGGCCAAGGCCACGGCCTGTCCCTGGTCGGCTGCCGAGCACCACTCCTCCGCGCTGCAGGACGCATACGGACAACGCACCGCGTCCGCCGAGGGCCATCCCACGCGGTGCCGCCCTTGGGAAGGAAAGCGCCCGAGAAAAGGACAATGAAGACGGTTCAGGACGTTTGCCTGGCGGCTGCAAACGCACCCCAAAGCCAGAAACCCCAAATGGAGAAGACTGTACCAAAAGCTGGGCTTCGGCACGGGAAGCGCAGCTGCAAAAGGACAAAGGGACACGTCCGTTTTGGCCAAGTCTAAAAGTTTGGTGTCTCAGAGGACATCATCAGGAAGGGAAAGCACTGCCCACGGGGTGGGGAAACCCCGATGAATGAGTTCGTGTGAAGGGGCTCGTGGGGGAGCGGAGGGGGGAAGGCGAAGCAGTCCAGGTTTCCTCCGACACCTCCGGGGAAGGGGCTGGCGCCCAGCTGCTGGCGGGCACCGTGCGACCGTTTGGTGGCACCTCGCCACAGTGAGCAGAGTTCTGACAAGTGCTCCACGCACTGCCGCAGCTTGAATGTGGCACTTAGTCCCCAGGGGTTAGGCTTAGGGTTAGCGAGGGCTGGCTTTATCAGAAGAGGGGCGAAACCGGAAGTAGCTCGACTGTGACGCCCCAGCCAGGGGCCCGGGCAGGTCTGGCCCCACACGCGTGGACTCCCTGAAGCCTCTATTCTTTACCAGCACCCAGTCTGTGCTCGCAAACACAGCACCAGCAGACAGGCCGGGGCGCAGATGTACACCCAAGCCAACTGGACACGCCTGCAGGAAACGCTGTCCACGAGGGTCCTCGGCAGCTCCGTTCTTAGACGCTAGCAAGTGGAAACGAGCCAGAGGCTCATCAACTTACGTGTGAGTAAGTAAGAATGTCTGGCCAGGGTTTCCCAGTCCCTAATAGAAAACGAACCCGCACGAATCAAAATCCGCAGACACTGAGAAAGCCCTCCGCGTCCGGATTCCCAGGAAGGCAGACTGCAGCAGGATCTGTGCCGGGGCTGGCGCCGTCGTGAAGCGGCATTCGGCAGTGCCACCCGCAGAGCCGGTGGCCGCCACCTTCCCCTCCCTGGACCAGCCGCCTCATCCACCCGTGGGCAATCTCGGCAGATGAGAACCCCGCCTTCGCACCTGAGGCACGACAGTGTTTGTCACAGCACCGGGCAGGGCACAGCTGGCGGGAGCCACTCCACAGGGAACCGCGGAAAATACTGAGAGGAGGCTGAGTAAAACTAGTTGTGAAAGGGTAGCATACTATTTTTAGTTTTAAAAAGAGAATTGCAGGGTCTTTAGTCACGCTGTCATGGCTGTCTCAGCAACCTGAATTGATTTTAAAACGTTGCCCTTCCGTGGTCCTTTTGACTTTGGGGAAGAGCTCACAATGTGAGAGGTCCAGTGAATCAAGTGGGTGTTTTTACGAGCCCGCCTTTCCATGGGCAGCCCTAGGCAGCAGCATTCACCGTGTTTTTGATCACACCTCGTAAGGACATTCAGGACTCCAAAGCTGCCGCAGAAAGGGGCAGGAATGATGGATGAGTGTATGAGTGTGAGTGTGTGTGTGTGTGTGTGTGTGTGTGTGTGTGTGTGAGTGTGTGTAGAGGGGGAGTTCCGAGGAGGATTCATGGAAATGTCTTTTACTGTAATACATTTAAAAAATGTTGGCTGGGCCTGGCACACGCCTATAATCCCAGCTCTCAGGAGGCTGAGGCAGGAGGATCACTGTGAGTTCAAGGCCAGCCTGGGCTACAAAGTGAGCTCAAGGCCAGTGTAAACTACAAAGCAAGACCCTGTCTCAAAAAAAACAAAAGCTAAAAAAATTAATAATGGCCAATAAATGCTAACATTCACTGTACTGTTTGTGAGCCCATATGGCTGTGCATAGAAACAGTGCCCCAAGAACATACTCCAGACTACATGGTGAGTCTCCCGAGACGCCGAAGCAACGAACAAGTATTTGTGCTATAATTTTAGGAAAGTTTTAAACACGAAGTTCTGTCTACTGCGTCCCACAGCGGGAGGGCCACGTCAGGAGGCAGATCTTCACTTTCCAGAGCAGCAGGTTCTGTACCCACAGCTGCCACCTGAACGCACGGTCTGTGCCTGGGGCCCCTGCTGTACCCACAGGACAGCATGGTCCCAGCTCCCAGGGATGCCTCTGCAACAAGGTAGGCGCTGCCTCATCGGCCCCAGAGCTGGGAGACTGCAGCTATGGCAACCACCACACTGTCAGGACCGTAGCCATGGTGAGCGCCATCGCTATAGAAACCGGGTGGCACGCAGGGAGAGGTGTGCGCGAGGTGAACGTGGCTCACTCCCCGGGAAGCGCTTGGTGACACCTGACTGCCCCCAGGTGGTGTCGCGACTGGATGGGTACCGCGAGTCAGGGGCGGGTGGTAGATGGGAGAGCAGCCGGGTGTTCTGGCCCCTCTGCTCCGGGTGTCGCTGCCACGTGCTGACGCTGTGGCACGAGGCCTTCATCACTGCAGCTGCTGGGCTCGGACTTGCGGCCTCAGTGAACTCGCCTTTGTTAGTCCACGGGCTCAGGAACGCCGGCAGAGAAGGGAGAGGCGGGCATTGTGCGGAAGCCCTGGCGGGGACGCCTCAGGCCCTCGTGGCCGGAACACAAAGGCGGCCGCAGGCAGCACCCTTCTCTTACAGCAGTGCCGCCTCGCCTAGCCTGAATGGCACATCCGGTTGCCAAGGACACAGACTTCCTCGTCGTGTGACAGCAGGGTGGCAGGACCCAGAAGTGCGGGGCGCGGGGCGCGGCGCAGGTGGCGGAGGGCTTGGGGACATTTGGGAGTGTGCTGGACTCCCAGGAGAGCCAGCTAGGGCTCTCGGGTATTTTAAGGATGTTTTCATTAGCTGAAAAAAAAAAAAGGAGAAGAAAAACCTTGTTCCAAGGCACCCACATTTACCAAGTCAAACCGGGCTGAAAAAGGAGGCCCTGGGAGAGGCAACCCGCCCTGTTCTGTCCCTGCAGACTGACAGGTGACAGGCTGCAGAGGACCCCAGCCCCTGCTCCCTTGTCCTGGAGGAAAGCCCTCGCACGTGCTGTGCTCCAGGTGTGCGCTGCAGGGACCGAGCTGGAGGGTCTCTTCCTCACGGCTCAGACACCCATTTCCTCACAGCTGTGATGCTGTGGAGAACAGAGCAGCCCAAGAAGAGACCTCTCGGGCATCCCTTTCTGTAAGGGCACTGCTACCAACCGACAGCCCTCAGCATCCACGTCCCAGTGCCCACCTCCAACCAAATCACACTGGAGCTTCCAACATAGGAACTAGGGGCACACCGAGTCCCTCACAGAAAGGGGTCAGGACCATAAAATGGAGTAAAAATGGAAGTGTTTTCTTCCAAGACTCAGTAAGGAGAATGAATAAAGAAAATGTTACCCATCGATACGATGAAATACTATGCCACCAGAAAAAGGACTGCGGGCTGCTCCTAAAACATGGGTGGACCTTGAGGACACGGTGCTGAGCAGAATACGCCAGTCCTGAAAGGCCAACCCTGTCTGACTCTGCTTCTGTGACAGAACTCCTGACAGCACAATGTGAGAGAGGGCTGGTTGGTCCGGCTCACAGCTGCGGAGGAGCCAGTCCATGGCCAGCTGCCCCAAGCAGGAAGCAGCGTGGCGCAGGGCGAGGCTCCCACAGCACAGGTTGCCAGAGCAGCCATACTCTTAGGCATGGGGAGCAGAGTGGAAATGGCTGGAGGCTGGTGGAGCGGTGGAAGCGGAGAGGAGCTGCTTCAGAGAGAGTGTTTCTGTGTGGGATTGCTAGGGTTCCGATATGGGAGTCAACGGAGACAGGAGGCAGGGCTGGAAGAAGGGAGTGGATCCCGGGGCCTGGCCTTGGGGGCCGCAGCTGGTCCCCACCCCTGCACTCTGCGTCCTGGCTGTCAAGACCTGAGCAGCTCTCCTCTGCCACACCCTCCGCCACACTGCTTCCCCCTTGGGGCAGCTGGCCATCGACTGGATTCACAACTGTGAGCTGGACAGACCAGTCCTCTCTTAAATTGTGCTGTCAGGTGTTCTCTCACAAAGATGAAAAGCTGACTAAGCCAGGGAAGGTGGAAAAGTCATTTTGAA